AAAAAAAAAATGTACAGAGATGCACCTTCAGAAATAGAAATGTGAAAGGTGGAATAAAAACCCTGATTGTTAACAGAGGCACCCCCACTGGGGTCCGATGAAGATTCTCTTTATAAAGCAGAAACAAACAACTTAGAGTTTTAGCACTCTCTATAAAGGAAATACCAGTATGTTGAAGACACATCCTAGCAGGGTATGCATCAGCAATGCCTTGCGGACTTGCAGCAACTTTTGCCTTTTCCTGCATCAGACAGATCACTGTCCAGGCAGAGTGTTAGCTGGAGACTGATAAGAACCTAAAAAAAAAAAAAAAAGCATCTTTTTTTTTTTTTTCCTTTTTCATTTTACCCATGGTCACGCATCCACACAAATGAGTCTTTTGGATGAGAAAAGTCACAGCAACTTGAGTCCTCCTAATGAGTAGATGACTTTTTAGCCCTCTTTGCTCTGATGGGGAAAATAAACAAAAAAACTAATGGACCCCAGGCAGGCACAACACTCGTAAATGAACACGGTTAGTACAAAACCAGTAAGGCATCGCTTTGGGAAGGTCAGCACCAAAGAGGTCAGGCAAGACTCGTCCGGACGGGGACCGGGGCTTCTGAAAGGGAGCGGACTCCGGCCCCTTGTGGAGTTGTGTCACGTTGGTTCTGAGGAAAGTGCAAGTCTTGTGCGAGGTGACCTCAGCACCCCACCTGAGGTTGGGGCTGGCACGCCTGAGGTGTTGATGTGCGTTCTGAAGCCTCGAGGACGAGAAGGAAAGGCAAGGTCCCCGCTCACCCGCGCGTGGAGGATGGGGTCCTGGTCCACTAGAAAGGACGCGACCCGCCCCGCCCCCCCCCCCCCCCAAGCAGGGCGCGGCGAGGTGTAAAACCGTGAGGATGGACAACTGAACAACCAGAACTCAGCAGGACCAAACCGAAACTCAACTCCTGCGGTTCTTTCTTTCACCAAAGGACTGATTCTGACCAAAGGTGGGGGGGCGGGCGGGGGGGGGGGGGAGAAAAAAATCTTCAAAATCAAAGAGAAAAGGGGGGAAACTCAACCTCATTTGCAAGGGGGTAACCAGTTCTCCAAACAGACCAATTCTCACTGTCCACAGTGTTTGCAGAAAGAAAAACCTGATTCATTGAGACAGGAGGGGGAAGCAGACACGGGCCGTCTGCATCGTGGCCACATCCGCTCGCGCACGTCCCACTCACGCTCAGGATCGACTGGAGGCTGACGGGTCTGGAAGGTGGGGCTGCACGGGCACAGGCAAAAATACCTCTCGGGTAAGGAGAGCACCACTTACGAAGCACAACAAAACAGCGAGCGCGCTTCGCGTTTCCCTGCGGTGTCCCTGCGTCGCAGCTGCGCAGTCAGCCGAGCGGGACCCAGCGGCGCCCGCCCCGTTAGCACCAGCTGTCTGGGCGGCCGGCTGCGGGGAGGCGCGGGGGCGCGGAGGCAGGTGCGGGCTGCTGGCGGCAAGACCCAGGCCCAGGGGGGAGGCGGTGTTGCCCGCATTTCCAGCGTGGCCCCAGTCTCTTCCGCTCTGGGTAGCTCGCCGCAGGATGCTGTTTGGTTTCAGAAGCTTCCAAGCGCGTTCTGGGTTTGTTTTCTTTAGAACCTTTTCATTTCGACGGTGACGATCGTTTCCCGAGAAGTACCTTCAGTGTCTTAGGGAGGTCACGGCAACAAGGCAAACGATGATGAAAATAAACAAGAAGGTAGTGCAGGCAGGTCTCCCTGTGGAAGGGAACGGTGCCAAGGCGGCTGGCCTGGGAGGCCCGCACCCAGGTCGAGGCTGGAGGAGGAGGGGTCTGGGCATCCCTGCAGCTCTCGCGCCGCGGCCGGGGGGCTGGCTCAGGAAGGTGCGGGGCACGCAGGTGGGGCAGGGCAGGGAGGGGGGAGGCGGGCAGGCTCCACGGCTGGCCCCTGTCACAGAGTCGACTCCAGGGACGAGTCCAGGATGTCGTCGTGATGGCTGTTGCTGTTGGAGTCGCTGTCGTAGCTCTGGGGGCTGGAGTAGTTGGCCGCCTCCTGCAGCCTCATCAGCATGTTCATCTGGGGAGAGAGGAAGAGCGTGAGCGGCTTTCAGCCTGGCAGCCGTCCACCTCTGGCCTTTTCCAAGCTTGCGCTACGTCCTCCAGACGCACCCCGGGTTGCAGCCCACAGCGGAGGCCATAGACAAAACAAAAAAACAAAACAAGAAAACCAACTGTGGACTCCGGTCCAGGCTTCCAGGGTTCCAGTCCTGTCTCTACCACTTACGAGCCGCATAACCTTGGGTAAGTTACTTAACCTTTTTGGGTCTCAGCTTCTTCCTCGTCCACATGAGAACCATTGTACCTGTCCTACGACGTTGTGGGTATGGATTGAGTGAATATATGCCAAGCACAGAAAAAATAGGAAGTCTTCTAGGAATACAGAATTTATTCTTTATTTGCAAGTGACACAGATTACCCCTTACCCAAGCACAGCCTGCAGACGGCGTAGAGATGCCAGTCAAGCTGGCTCGGCCCCGCTGACATCTGAAGCACACGGCTCCCCCTTTGGGGAGCACCAAGCCCGCGGGTATGTCTGACTCTGGCCAGAGGGCAGCCTGGAGCCGGCTGTGCTCCCACTCCTGCCGAGGCCACCATGGGGAGGTAAAGGACAGCAGCAGTTACAAGCAGAGCCATGAAGCACAGAGGGGCCTGAATTCCAAGGCAGGAAACTCCGGGCAAATTACCCACCATACCTGAGCCCCCAGGTCCTCATGTGCAGAGCAGAGAGAACAAGAGCACCTGTATCTCACAGGGTTGAAGGAGGCGATGAAAGGACAGGATGTGCATTAGACCCTCAGAAGAGGGCTTGGCGTGTAGGAAGTGCTCAATAAATGAGATCTGCTATCATCATCATCATTTGACTTTAAGAGTTTAAAGAGTGTTCTGAGACCTTCCCAGTCTACAGTCTATTGGTTATTTGTCTGCGAGTGAAAGGGAGAACTAGGAACTAATTTTACTTGCAACTTTAAATTCTGTCTTTTATATTTTACATAGCAAGTAAGTTAGAAAGTAGGGTCTCTCTGAGCTGAGGCCAAGACATGATGCAGCTGGGCATGGAATCCAGCTGCTTCCTAGCCAGCTGCCCCTCGGGATGCCTTGCGGTCTCCTTGGGTGAGCCAGGGCGCAGAACCACCATCAGCCGTGCCTATTGGTGTAGCCATGACTGGGGAAGAGGTGGAGCTGAAGTACAAGGGGCAATCCTTGGCAGCCGCGATTATTCACTCATCAAACAGCCCCAGTGTATTTACAGTGTGTGTTCTCGAACAAAAATGAGTCAGTCCTGTTCTCCTGGAGGTCTCGGTCTCATGAGAGAGAGAGAGACCAGTTAACAAGAGACCTCGGGCCCTGGGGAGGGAGAAACACAAGTATCTATTTGATAGTGGGGGTACCTGAGCTGGCACAGCTCACTTCGGGGTACCTGGGGCTGGAGGGAGAGTTTTGTGTAACTATTCCAAGAGCTCCAGGTTTCACCTAAATGCCCTTATGTTTAGTCAGTGACACAAATACTCCCGGGTAAGAGAAGAGGGTCTGGAGATGAGGGAGCCATGCTTTCCTCTAGAGATCTCCTAAATTCTATTTTTATGTAAGGAAAGAGCTCATGAGCTTGCAACCACAGAAACATCTCCACGACTCTGGCTTTAGCCATAATTCATGTTAGACATGGCGTTTTCAAGTCTGGTCCTTTCTTCTGCAGAACCATTGTTGTAAACACTGTACATTAGGTTGTACATAGTAACATAACAACTCCCATTTAAAATACAGTTCCTATTTATAAGAAAGCTCAACAGGACCCCAGCTCCTTCCTGCCAGTGAGGAGGATGGCAGACAAGCCAAAGCAGCGATGATGATGATGATGATGATTTTTATCTAGCAAATCAATTAGTCATCAGGGAAAGAACAAGTCAGCTGTCTTTTAATTCTGCTGCATCCCTCATGAATATGTTCTTTCATTAAGTAATGCAAGTCATATTTTCTGCTGTGTTTTTCCTCTTGCCTTAGCTGCCAAGGGAGCTCAAGGGTAAATTGAAGGCATGATAATGGTCACTTAAGTATGGGAGGCTCTGGGGTATGTGCATCCACTTTCTTTAATAGAGCTTCTGATTTATTAGGTCTAATCTTGCAGTATAACTGTATATGGGTCTTGGGTAGGCAGAGAACACTATAATTATAGTGTTATCGTCCCTGGTCCAGGTTCTTCTCAAAGGGCCTTTATTTGCTTTCGCAATGGTGGGGGTAAATAAGAAGCTCAGGCAGTTACACAGACTTAACTCAGGTCGCTGGCCTTGGGACCCGTATTCAGGCTTCCCTGTCCTCTGAGAGTCCCTCGTGCCCTGAAACCTCTCCCTGCGTGTGCATCTGATCAGTCAGTTTGGGCTTCTGCTCCTTCACAATCTCCGCCTTTGCTCTGGCACTAGTGGGAGAGATGAATGGGGCAGGACAGTACGTGATAAAGTTGGTACTCTAATCAGAGGACAAAGAGTGGGACGGGGGCGTTTAGGTTGGGAAAAATCACATTCGTAACCTTTTATCTTATACCGGAACAAATTTCAGAGGGTTAAAGGCCATAGTGAAAAACTGACCCCATGGGAGATAACGCTGCCAAAGTGCGACTAACCTTGGGGTGGGTCCAGCCTTCCAAAGAGAGACCCTGGCTCAGTCACGTCTCTATTCCCAGCATGCCTTGCGTCATGCCCAATATACAGTAAGTGCTCAGTAAATGCTGAGCTGCTCTGAGAGCAGAGACTTACCAGTGGGTCTCCTTCAGCATCGCTGGGGGGCATCTGCTTGCTCGCAGACCCTTCCCGAGGCATGGAGTAGCCGTCGAAGCCGACATCCTCAGGCCGGAGCTGCAGCAGGGGAGGCCACTCGTGTTGCTGTGGGCTGGCTGCCCAGGGGTAGGTGTCCATCACCCACTTGGCGGGATCCTCCCAGGGGGCCCGCCTTCCATAGAGCTGAAAACAGGCAAAGAAGGAATAGTCTGGGACTGGCCCGAGACCTCCTCTGCAGCCCTGGTTGTGCAGCCTTCGGAAACTTCCTCAAGCCCAGCATCATGCCTTCCCTGATGGAGTAACTGCACTTCCAGAATTCTAAGGAAGGAAGCCACCCGAGGTACCCACAGCTTGATGTGCCAAGACTGAAGGCAACGTGACCTAAGGGTCAAAGGTGCTGGCTTTGGAGTCATCATCTGACCTGGGTCCCCATCTTCGCTCTGCCATGGTCTCACCGAGTCACCCTAAACTCTACGCTTTGCTGATCCAATCTGAAAAGTAGCCGCTTGCGGGGAGGGACCCCAACCGCATGATTTGAAGCATGTGCCAATTTCTGTGGGGTAAATACTCCTCCTATGGCCGATCTTAAACCACCAATATGGTAGCACTGAACTTGGGAGTTGGAAGGAGGTGCTGACCCTCGGCTCACATGAGTCGGCTCTAGTATCCCATTGGGTGAACCCCTGAAGATGACCTCCGACACCGATCGTGCGCCGGGCATCAACACCACAGTGGAGTGGTGCCCTGGTTCAATAAAACCCCATCTCCTGAAGCAGCTCAGACTCTCAGAGCCCCTCACAGCAGTGCTGGTCACCCTGTTAACCGAGGTTACACACGGGTATTGGAATTTTAAGTCTTTCAACTATTATCCTTCAAAACTGCCCGGAACAACTGACGGGAAACTATGTTATCACTTAATTTAAGGCCTTTTTTTAAGACTTCACTATTTAATGATAAGATTATTATAGTGGATTTTACCAGCAATGTCAAGAAATCTATTCTCTCTTCCAAGGACAGAAACCGGGCCGCTGCCCGTCCCCAGGTGGGGCTCTGCATAGGATACAGTCTTCATCTTCATCATACCGTCTGCATCTTCTCTCTGTTAATGCCACCACGGCTGCCCCATCTTACAGCTGATGGTGGGTCAGCAGCGTTTTACAAATACTGCGCAGAACTGCCATGTGACTCCAAGGGGGAGCAGGACTGCCTGAGTCTCCCAGATGAGGGGGACAAGCCCAGGGAGGAGAGGCAGAAGAACAGGAACCCAAGTCTGTCCGCCTCCACGCACCACTGAGTCTGAGACGTGGAAGGTGTGCTTGCCCAGCACTGGGGAGTACCCCTTCGACAGGGGACCATGGGGTACACAGACCAAAGACTCCTGAACCACCACGTCTGCAGGGCAGCTCCCTCCGCCCTCCCACAACTCCTACAGGAGAGAGGGGAGAGAGGACTTGCTACCAGAACAGAGCTGAGCTCTGACTGACCAGATCACACCTATCCAGGTCCTAGGCTGCCCCAGCTGGAAGGAACTGGAGTCCCCTGGCCTTGTTTACTGGATGGGGTCGTTGGGGTCTAAACAGGAAGGCCAGCCGTGAAAGGTTATGGAGTGGAGCTGGATTCAAACCCGGGACCTCAGCTTCCTTGTCTGGGCCTTTCTTCCCCTCTCCGCCCCTCCTGACCGAGTCCACCTGGTATCAGCAAGAGACAAGAGCCATGACTCAGCCAAAACCAGAGTAGGGAGAGGCAGACCAGGCTATTCACCAGACAAGGGTGTGTCAGCTGGGTGATTCACGGGGGCCTACGGTACCTCTGACCTTGACGTCTGATTTGTCGGGGAAGCCACCCACCCTGCCCGCATGGCCCAGGGGCTTACCCGTCCCTCCCCATTAGTGACTAGCTCTTCCTGTGCTCAAGACACGCACAGCCTCCTGTGACCTCACTGCTTTCTCAGACGCCTGCACCCCTCCCGTCTAGCACCCTGACCCTGTCTGTCGCTAAATCTTCCTTCACCTGGGGCAGCGGTGAGTCTTGGGCCTGAGGATTCAGTCTGGTGTTCTAAAGGCTGTTCCTGGTCCGAGCGAGAAGGGATGACGTGAAGGTGAGGGCATGTGCACGTGTGTGCAAGCCAGGGAGGGAGGGAGCACACAAGCATTTGGGGCATATTCAGAACTGAAGAAGGCTGCTCTCCATCAGAAACATTCCTGCAATTTTAGAAGCTTCTCCCTCCAGAGGGAGGTTTGGGCCACATTTCCCAAGCCAGGCCTCATGCGTGAGGCTTACTTCCGGAGCCAGTCTGGAAGAGGAGAGGCTCAGGGCTGCAGAGCAAGAGGCTGGGATGTGGAGCTCATCCAGTCCTTAGACATAATATGGCCCAGAGGTTTTCAAATACTTGCTCTTCCCCTGACCCTACCACTGAATAGCCTGAGGACCTTCTGGGCTCCACAGAAGCCAGCCGGAGAAAATACTCTTCTAGTCTAAGCTGCTCAGATCACAGACAGGGAACCTACAGACAGGAGACTTGCCCAGGGTCTCAGAGCAGGTTGGGTCATCCGATAAATGGCCCAACGCTCTTCCCCGCCCACCAGGAGAACACAGGTCCTTTGAGTTGCTCTATAGACTTCAGACACTTTGGCAAATGTTTACAATGATGGCTCCAGAGGGGAGCAGGACTGGGAACTGAGTCATAAGATAAATGTACATTGGGCGCTTGTGAACGTCATCTGCAAGAACAGAAAATATTTTTACAAGCTTCCGCGCTTGCCACTAGACATGTTCAAGACCAGGTGATGAATGGTTGGGTCAGGACTATGGCAGGCAAAGGAATTACCATAAAAGCTCCTCGGCCCCACTGCAGCAGAGCCCTGAGGCAGCTCTGGGAAGCAGCAGAGACAGCTGGACAGAGAGACAGGCAGACGGGACATTCACCTTCCCCTATGGCTCAGGAGCTGTGGGCTGAGCCAACAGGAACAAATACCGGGGCCTCTGTGAGCCTCCTGACTCCACAGAATGTGCGGAGCCACCGGGAGGCCATGCTTGCCTGCTCTGAACCACAGTCCCCTCACGGCCACTCGCTCCCCTCACAGGGTCCCGTAAGGAGTGGCCTCACACAGCATTCAGCACACAGTTAGCAGGGACTCAGGGTAACACAGGGGGAGTGGGGAATCGAACTTTTTTTTTCTTTTTTTTTAAACAGAGGAATCCTTTTGTTAAATGAGATCTTCTGTAGAAAACCACCCTATGAAACACAATACTTCGTTCCCTGAACCACCTGAGGCTTCTGGAAGTTAGGGGGTCCTGAGGACAGCTTGAAAATCCCAGAAGTAACGGAGGGGTCAGCCAGACCTGGCCCCAATGCTGGCTCATCACACCCCAGTGAGTGACCTTGGGTAACAGTAAAAACTCTTGTGAGCCTGGTTTCCTCGTTTATGAGGTACTCTTTGAGCTGTTAGAACTAAAAGAGATCGTGCACATCAGGCCCCTCACAGGGCCCAGCAAGTAGCAGACCCTCAATCAACGTCAGCAGACTTTCCTTCAAAACCAGGGGCCTGAAGAACACACCAGGTTTCCTCAGGAATCAGTAGATTCTGGGGGTTTTCCTGGGCTCCTCAGGATGATGAGGTCACAGGTTTGGAGCAAGGTGGCTCACTTTTGAGCAACTTGGTAAAATGCTAATTCTGCTGCCTCCCCACCCCCACTTGCTCCCACACTCTTGAAGGATGGTCTTTCAAATGACCTCACAGCGCAGGGAAGCAATGACTTATTTTTGCTTCACGCTGAACTGGTAAGTCCCATGAGATGGTGGTATGTCTCTGTTCCCTGCCCCAGACGGAACGTTCTATAGCCATCCCCAAATCCTCCGTGCTCTTGGTGGGAAAGAGCCCCAGGAAGGGCATTTGGACTCCACCTTTATGGCCGTGCCCAGAAGGCTTTCTTTGAAATTCAAGTCGAAAGGAGCAGGGTCCTGGCATGTCCATCCTGGGTGAGGACCGACAGGGGGCCAGCTGATATGTGTAGTTCAAGGCTGGAGTACTCCTTGTGTCTCCCCACTCATGGTTTGTGCTTCACTGCGCAAGGGAGGCCAGCCCTTAACCAACAGAGCCCATGGGTTCTTCCAAGCACGCCCTGAGGTCACTGCCTATCCCTCATCACAAAATACATTTGGAGCAAAGAAGCAGCAGATGAACAAGTGAGAGGAGAGGCAGAAATAAGAGGAAATGGCGCACTTCCTCTAATTCCCTTACTTCTTTTGAGCAGCATGGGGGTCCCCCGGAGGTGCCGGGCATAGCACAGCCCCAGGAAAGCCACTGAAGGAGAACGGAGGAGGGGGCTTCTGAAATGAAACCGACTTCAAGAATCCAGCATGTGGGAGATGCCTCCACTGGCCCAAGAAAACAGGAATGACTGCACAGCTCCTTGGGTTTGCGGCACGGACAGATCATCTGATTAAAGACTAAACTAGGGTCCGCTGACCCAGGTCAGTGAATTTATCTACCTAGGGAGATCCTACTGCAAAGATCTGAAATCCCTCACACCTTGCTTTACGAAAGCCACGTGACACAGGAGAAAGGCTGCCGTCAGTGACCGGTCTTTGCGTGTGACTAACCAATGATTTGGGGCTGACCAAGGGACTGCCTATCTGCTTGCTAGTCTGCCTTCAGGTGCACCTCGATTGCCCCAAGGCGGCCTGCATTTGTGGGACAGCCGTGCTCCAGCTCGGTGAGGCAGGAGCTGCAAGAGGCACGGTACGTTCCTTTCCCAGTTCTTGCCGTCCCGGCAGCCTCTGAAACCACAGGCCGCTGCACGGCACCAAGCGGCTACACATCCACCAGGGGCAGCGACACACACACTGCGGCCCCGAACGGGCTGTACCCCATACACGCACGTGGGTGTGCCCCCTCCCGTGCCCTCCACCGGCCCACAGCAGCCTCCTGGGTCTCCAGCTGCCCAGCGTGGAGGAAGCCAAGGAGCCCTTGGGAACCCGGCTGGTTCCTGGACTCTTCAGCTGTGCCTGATGCCTGCTCATTACTCAGTGTACGTGCTGCAAGCCTAGAAACTTCTACAGCCGCCTCCAGACTCAACCGTGTCACTGGTGCAAGCTCCAATTTAATGCTAAGCCCGCCCTAGCACTCAAGGCTGGGCTGAATGAGAAGTGAAGGATGCTGCCTTCCAGCCCCTGCAGCGTAGGGGCTTGCAGCCCCGGGGGCCCCAGGGTCGTGGGGGGAGGCAGAGTGGGCGGGTGAGGGTATCTGGGTGGCAGGTAGTGAGTGCTATGGGGCCGAGGCCTCAGAACCTGGAATTCGAGTTAGGGGACTGGACTCCAATCTCAGCTTCTTCAAGTGTCCTTTTTATGACCTTGGGCAACCCACTTACTCTCTCTGAGCCTTAATTTTCCCCTCCTGAAAAATGGAGACCAAAAAAAAAAAAAAAACCCACCTCTGCTCAAGTCCCAGGACTAAAGCAGGCTTGAGTCAAAGAGCAGAGAGGAGACTACTTCGCAAACTGCACGCTTCCATTTCTTGTGCGCTCGCTGTGCTGGGCGCTTTATGGCCATGACTGCATTTAACCCTCGCAGTAACTGCTTGTGGTAGAGGATGGTCATTCTCCTCTTCTATCAGCCAGGGCACTAGGGCACAGAGAGGCTGAACAACTTGCCTGGGGTCACACATGAACAGTGGCGGAGCCAAGATATGCAGCTAAGTCGTCCTACTCTGTGCCAGACTGATGGCCTCCCCCATGAGGGGCTGTCACCCCATGTCAGTCAGACGTCTAAAGGAGGAGATACAGACAACTCATCGGGTCACCAGAACAGTTCCCCCGTCCCGCCCCCAATTCTGAGGAGGCCTGTGGCAAGCACGCTCCTCACCTGGAGTCCTTCTCTGACGGCTTCCAGGAGATAGGGGATAATCGAGTAGTTCCACAAGTCGGTGAACCACACCCTGGAGCCATCCACATCGATGGGGCATGACAGGAAGAGCCGGGGGCCTGGGGACCACAGGGAAAGTCCATCAGAGCTGAAACTGGGGGGTTAAGAGAAGCCACGGTCTGAACAAACCCCACAGGAGGGACCCTGTGATTTTCTGAATGACAGCAGAAGTACCGCTTCCCTGGGATCTCTCTCCCCTCCCAGGAAGTCACCCAAAAGAGAGGAGAGGCTTTATGGAGAGAGATGTTCACTGCAGTAGGATGAACCCTGACCGCTGGAAACAGAAGTGCACTCAGTGTCCGAGAAGAGAAATGGTTACGCAAACGATGGTACAGCCACTTTGATTACTCTGCAGCCTTTGGGAAGGACTGTGAAAATGGAGTAGCAACACAGATGCTCAGGGGACAATGTGAAATAAAAAAAATGAGCATCCTGTGTGCACGCTGTATTTGCAACTACACAAACCTACATGTCTGGACAAGGACAGAAAACAGAAGTTCAAATTAACATTCTGTTAAGATGGTGGGATGATCAGCAGTCTTTTTTTCTCTGAACCCTAAGCTTTGGGAACATTGATAGCATTTTATTTTTAAAGTGGAGCCAATGTGGCCAGATGGCTTGCGCTTAGGGGAGCCCTGCGCTGGGGGCTCTTCACAGAGCCGGCAGTTTTTGCATCAGCCTGGGCTGGATGCATCGCTCTGCAGCTGATCAGCCCTGGTCCGCTGTGCAAAGATGAGGACAAGGACACAGCACCAGATGCAGATGACTGGCAGTCCGGGGGTCTGCCCTGGGCTGTGATGGTCCCGGTGTCCCCTTCTCACCCGTGTGGACAGTGCAGCATCCAGCTGACTTGTGCCTGCCAGGTGCTGTCCCGGCCAGGGCCCCAAGGACACGTGTCTGAGGCGGCCAGAACTCCAGGAGCAGTGCCTGTCCCCTGCCTGGCCTCCCACCTACCTATGGTGACGTCTGAGGAGCTGTGAGCCTCCAGGAAGCGGTTGAGGTGATGCCAGACCTTGGGAATCCAGTCGATGATTTTTACCAGCTCCACATTCCGCACTCGCCCACTGATCTCTGTTTCCATGAGCTTCCGCCTTAGGAACCGGCCGAGAAAGCCCTTCACGGGCTCTGTGTGGTTGGCACAAAGCACCCACCTGGAGGAGAGTCAGCAATACTTTTCGGTGATGATGACTGATAAAAACGATGCCAGCCTCCCCAGTCAAAGCTCATTAGATCTGGAGTTACTAGGACAGGCCCTATAGTGCACCCAATTCGTTGTGGCGGCCCTGTGACAGAGCTACGACAGCCATCCCCATTTCACAGATGGGAATGCTGAGGCACAGACAGGTTGTACAACTTATCCAAGATCAAACAGCTCTTTAATATAGAAGGGCTAAATCAGGACGAGGATGGTCCATCTCCAGAGTCTGAGCTCTAACCACTGGGCCTGCTGCCTCTTGTGCCATAAGTCAGGCTGTGGCTGGCCTCTGGAGCTGTAACAAAGACTAAGACGCAGGCCCTGTTCCCCAGAAGCACACGGTCTAGTGGAGGAAGTAGATAAGCAAACAGAGGAATGAGATGTGACAAACCCCAGGGAATCAGAGAAGCCTCCCAGAGGACGAGATGTCTGAGACCAGGAGGGGGCTGGGGTCAGGGTGGAGACCAGGCTGCCGCATCTGCAAAGGCGCATGGGGTGGTCGGGGAACCTGCCAGAGATTCAGTGTGACCAGTGTAATTCAGTGTTCGGACCTGCCAACCTACAGAGTCTGATTCCATTGTGGAGGCCATGGGGAGCCCCTGAAGGAGTTTAAGCATGAGGGTTTTCTGGTCAGATCTGAATTCTAGAACGCTCACTCAGCTGCCACTGGCACAGCAGATGGCCTTCAGGGAGCCGAGCTGCGGGCAGGCGCTGTGGTTGCAGTGACGGTGTGCTGGGAGCCGTGGGGGGGGGGGGGGCAGGAGGAGAAAGCACGGACGAGACAGGACAGCCTGGATGCAGAGGCGGCCATGATCTCGGGCCTGGGGGAGTCGCCATTTCTGATGATCACAGTTCGGGTCTGCTCTCAATAGATTTCCCTCAGAGATGTCTGCAGATGGCCAGTGGAAGAGCGCCAGGGACCTACCCCAGAGTGGCTTCTCAGCCGCATCCCAGGGCCTGGGGGGCGGTGGGGGGGGGGTTGCAGTCACCTGGGAGGTGGCGCAGGGCAGAGGACATCCAGCCATGGCAAGGCCAGCAGCAACGGGACCTTGCACGACCGAGCTGGACAGTGCCTCCCACATCCCAGCAGTGACCGCACCCCGGTACAGGGCCAGGGCAGAGGGACTCCCAGCAGCTGGAGTGCAAAGGCCCACAGCTCTGAGGGGACACTCATAAGCAAGAGCTTGCACTGCTCATGATCATCACTTGGGGCGGAGAGATGCATCACCGGGGACGTGAGGGGGATGGGCAAGCCCAGAGCCGCGGCCCTGACACGGCTACCCCAGGGCGGAGACTCAGGGAGACCTGGGCTTCCGTCTCAGCTCTGCCACCGACCGGCCAGGTGACCCCGCGTGAATCAGTTCTCTCAGCCTCCCCGCCCCCAGTTGCAAGATAAAGCTAGCTAACTCCTTGAGGCTGTCGTGGGAGTGAAATGAGTTACGCCGGGGCAAACGCTCAGCACGACGGCCAACATGGGCGCCCGAACAGCCGTGCCTTACCTGAAGTTGTGATGAAGCTGCAGATTGGGAGTAGATGAGGTAGCCTGGTTCATTGTGCCGATTATGTAAGGGCTGTGGGGACAGGAAGGAAGAGAAGGCCCTGTGAGTCAAAGGCAAGCCAGGGAAGGTGCTCACGGAAGCCCGTGGCACCGGCAGGTGCAGGCAGATGGCTGCTTGCCTCCCCCGCCCCCCACGCGGAGCCCGGGCTGTGTGGGCACCGTGCCCGTGCAGCACACATCCCGTGGCCACCGTCCTCTGGGGGCCATGGGGTTGGGAGCTGCCCTTTACCATTTATGGTCCTTGCAGTTGAGCAGCCCATTGAAGATCTCGCCCAGGGAGCTGACGTGATGCAGGTTGTCGAGGATGATGACGAGGGGCAGGTCCACAGCGTTGTTCTCGCTGGTGCACTGGTCAGCAAGGTTGGACAGGTACTGGCGCAATTCCTGGGGAGGCCGGGGGAAGAATAAGTGGGTGAATGCACCCCAATAAAGATGCACATGCTCAGAGCCTTCACTTTGCCCAGGTCAACACAGGCGGAAAGGCCTTTCAGTAGGCCATGTGGTGAACCTGTATTGAGTGCCCATCTGCTACACAACATCATCCGGAGGGGGTCAGGAGATGTAGGGTGGGCAGGGGGTGAGGAAGGCCTGGGTCCTGCCTCTTGGAAGGCACTAGGTAACAGAAAACCTGCCTGGGGCAGGAGCACGGCACTGTGGGGTGCTGAGGCATCGTTCTGCATCCCTGTTCTAATCACTTGTCTACAAGTGCTGTCATTTTTCTTGATATTGCTTATTATGCCCACCTTGCAGTAAGCTCCCAAGGGCGGGTGCCTTATACACCTCTGTACTTCCGCAGCACCTGCGTGAGAGCCACTTATACAGAAGCCCTCGATGAATCGACACAGCAAAGGACCGCCCCCCGCCCCCCGCCCCCCACCCCTGCACAGGCTTGCACCGCTCATCAGTGCCATCACAGCCAGCCAACAGTGCAGGGCAGAGGGGTCAGCATGCAGAGGGGGCCCTGGAAGGTCTGGACTGAACTGTGGAGAAGAGGTCGGGGATTGGCTTGTGTTGGAACTAGGATGCAGCCCAGCCCGGCTGGGGTGAGGGATGTGTGTCAGAAGACGAGGGATAATGGTGCCAAAGAGGAAAGGCCGAAACGGTGAGCGGAGGACCGGCCAGGGACCACAATGCCTGCCTGCTAGTGTTACCATCATAGCAATGGTGGTCAGGGACTTAGAGCTTCACACACACAATCTCTGTAGCCCTATGGGAACCTTCTTGGGTGGGCACTGGGATTATCTCCGTTTTACCAATGAGGAGGCTAGGGCACATCAAAATCAGGTGCCTGGCTCCAGACTCGGGGACTGCCGCAGTGCGGGTTCTTTATCACATCAGACGGTCCTAGGCGCTAGCCTGAGAGCTCACAGGGTGATGCTCCCTCCACCTCCTACAAACACATACACGGGCCTCCCTCTTGAGTCAAAGTGTGGCTTGCTAACATCAGAAAAAGCCCCATTTTTAAGTTACTAGTAATTTCTTTTTCCTTTAGCCCCTTCCCACCAGGGATTCGTGGTCTCAGGCACCTGAGAAGGACAGAGTTTCCAGAGCCTTCCTTCCCCTGCTGAGGCTTGTGGGGTATGGTTGGTGAGCTGTACTCTGCAGAGGGTGCTGGTCAAGGGGAACGTGAGAGGGGGATGAAATCTAGCCTGGGCTCGATCCCCAGCCACATGCCTAGGGTCCTTCTCTCACTGGTCCTGGAAGAGGGTGCCTTCCCTTAGTAGGCTCACACACAGAGACTCTGGGTACCGGCACCCTGACGACTTCTCTCTAGTTCTAGCCCAACATCAAAATCACCCAGCTAACTGAATGGCGCAGATTCCGGCCTGCCAAACTTACTGAAAGCCGTCATCTGGGAATGAGATCCAGGAATCTGTATCTTTGAGCATGCCAGGTGATTCATAAGGCAGAAGAGTCATTTCCCAATCGCTTCTGACTCACCAGTCCCCTTGCTCAGGGCCAGCCCGAGCGAATCACCCATCACCTCCCACTGCGTGAACAGTGAACAGGTTTGAGAAACCACTTCACGATCTTCGCCCGGGACCAGGTCCAGACGTCTCCATCAGTCCCCATGAAGCAGGACTGAGCCTGTTTGCTGGCTCTGGAGTCCAAGACGCTGACTTAAGCCCTAGTCCACTGCTCTGTACCATCCAAGGGCTCCTAGGCACATGGCCACCTGCCTCGAGCCTCAGGTCCCTTCTCTGTGACAGGAGAGTAGCCACGACCTCTCTCTTGAGGGTACTATCGTGAGGTGGCCAGTTTGTTGGTCATGGGCAAGCAGTCTGTGATGTGAGCTGATATTATGAGTGTCAGCACTGTTCCTCAAGAGGACGTTTGATTTGGGAGAAAAAGAGCAGCAAGTAGGCACACGACAAATTCTTGGTAAACTAAAATGGATGCTTCTGGGGTGATCCTAAAGGACTCCTAGCACTGAGCATCACAGCCAGCTCAGAGCGGGCAATGAGAAATGAACCAGCTCGCCTAACAGATGGCACTCCTCTGCCATCCAGTGAGTTCCTCACTGGAAGTTTTGGGTTCAAGCCTTCCCTTCTGCTACCCCATCCTGACTTCCGCCACCAGGCTTTCACAAGCCCAAGGGAGAACACCCGGGCAACACTGCTTTCCCATTAGGGCGGTGGTGGCCTCGACAGTCCTGAAAGGGCCACACAGCACCCCCTGGCTGGGTGGCAGTCTCCAAATGACCTCCTCACCTTGCTGGACTTGTGGTCCACGTTGAAGGTGGCGATGACACCATCCGTCAGCTCCCGTCCCTCCCGCAGCACCAAGTACTCGGACAGCCGGTTGGCCAAGTAGGTTTTCCCGGTGCCGCTGGGGCCAGAGAGGATGATCCGCCGGTGCTCCACCAGCAGGGAAACGTAGCGCTGCAGGATGGGCTTGGGGATCAGGGACTCGAACACCAGGGAGTCCAGGCTGTTCTCCGCGAGCCCTGTGTTGGAGAGGGACAGGAAGGGTCTGAAGCCCTGTGGAATGGGTAGCTCTGCGCTTGCCACCTGGGTCTGCCTGGCTCTTTCCACGGCGGCCACTCATCTGAGACGGCTGCCCACCCGGGTACACGGGAGGCTGAGCGCAGGCAGCCACTGCAGCCTGCTCACGAGCACGGTGTGGTCTAGCACCTGGCTCAGCCGGCTAGCCCAGACTCAGACTCCACTCTAACACCCGCCGGGCCCGAGGGCCCTGTCTGTCCTCTGCAGAGTTCCTAAGACTCTGGGCTCTGCTTGTCTGTCTGGATTTGCCGTGCTGCTGGTGTCTGCCCAGCCCAAACCTGAGTCTCCCGTGTCTGCCAAGACCCTGGGGTTGCCTGTCACCCTGTTGTCTCTTGTGCCCTGTGCCACCGCTGCCCACACTCAGATATGCCACAGAGGTGGCCACGCTTTCATCCTGAAAGCAAAGAAATGCCATTTGATTCAGGTATGTGATGACTGGTAGGCGAAAGCTGAGATGCTATCCACCCAGACCTCTGAGCCTCAACAATGTCAAGAGGAAACGTATCTTTCCTCTTTCCTACGTGGGACAGCTCCACCCATCAGGGCTGTTGGGTTTTTTTTTTTTTTTAAGATTTTATTTATTTATTTGAGAGCACGAGAGCAAGAGAGAAAGCATGAGCAGAGGGGAGGAGCAGAGAGAGAAGCAAACTCCCCGCTGAGCAGGGAGCAAGACACAGGGCTCGATCCCAGGATCCCGGGATCATGATCTGAGCTCAAGGCAGCCACTTAACTGACTGAGCCACCCAGGCACCCCAGGGCCGTTGGCTATCTACTTTTATTTTATTTTTAAAGATTTATTTATTCATTTGTAGTGAGAGAGAGAAAGAGAGCGTGTGCAGGAGCAGGGGGAAAGGCAGAGGGAGAGAAGCAGACTCCCCACTGAGGGTGGAGCCTGACGTGAGGCTCAACCCCGAGACCCTGAGATCATGGCCTGAGGCAAAATCAAGACTCAGATGCTTAACCTACTGAGCCACCCAGGGTCGTTGGCTTTTTAAAAACTATTTTCTTGTGGGCGCCTGGGTGGCTCAGATGGTTAAGCATCTGCCTTCGGCTCAGGTCATGATCCCGGGGTCCTGGGATCGAGTCCCACGTCGGGCTCCCTGCTGAGCGGGGAGCCTGCTTCTCCCTCTGCCTTTCTCTCTCTCTCTCTCTCTCTGTCTCTCATGAATAAATGCATAAATAAATCTTTAAAAAAAAAACAAAACTATTTTCTTGATATCATTCTCAAGAGAAGATCCACCCAAGGTTACTTGTCTAAAACCTAAAGTAACTCTGTTAAAACTCACCTTAAGAAAACTAGTGTATGTAGGTAAAAAATATATTGAAGAGCATTTAGTCTACTTTTTTTTTAAGATTTCATCTTTAAGTAATCTCTACCCTCAATGTGGGGCTCGAACTTACAAGCGCGAGATCAAAGTCACATGCTCTACTGAGCCAGCCAGGCACCCCCATTTATTCTATTTTATAACAGTATCTTCCTTTTACATAATTATTCACTGCAAACAGACCCCACAAATGCACTTATATGCTTGTTTCTAATCCCCCCCCCCCAACCGAGAATGGCCCCTACATGCAGGAGACTATTCCAGAATGACCATGATGAAGGTTTCTAAAGGACTTATCTTTCGGGTACAGGCCTAAGACTCTCCTGGTACTGAGCTCAGTGTAGCCTACACTGGTTGAAACTCGATGCGAAGTGCGGAATGCAGGGTCTCTCGTCTAAACTTAGTAACGAGGAAAAAACCCACAAAAACATCTCTCTCTACATATACGCTGCTCTTTTGGTCTTTTGCCCTAAAACCCCCTGGGAATGACTATTCTGCAGATGAACTCACTGCAGGACACGCATTCAGCATTCCCGCTAAAGCCAGTTTGGGGTAGGTTCCCGTCACTTGCACCCAAGGCCACGTGTGTGCTTGCTGGTAAGATAGGCTGTGTGTGAGGCTTGAGCAGTCACGTCAGGCCCGTCAATGGCAGAGCAAGGTGTGGATTCCTGCTCCTAAGGAATGGTGGGGTGCTTATGGAAAACCTCCCAACCAGGAAACAAAGCTTGCATCAAACAACCCCAAAAGTGCCCTGTTAAAACTACAGTCAAAAGCTGTGAGTTACAGGGAAGTAAGATGGGACAACCTGAAGGGTGAGCTTCGCACAGTGTTTATTAATCTATTCTTTGGCGGCGGGAGGTTCATAAAATAGAGGGAAAAAAGGGCTTTTGCAGTCAAATACGTTGGTGTCAGACTGGATTCAATAGCCTTCTTACTGACCGGAGTCAGCGTATCCGAGGCTGGAGTTAGTGCACCCAGCACCCGTACACTCCTTGTCTTCCTGTCCCCTGAACACAAATGGGTCTAATGAGGCAGTTTTCTAGACTTATTTGGCCAGGATTCTCCCCCCACAAGAATACTTTGTGGGCCTAGTGTTCCCTGGAACACACTTCGGCCTGGGGCCCAGCATCCCTAGGGGATGAGGCACCTGGAAGGGCCAGCAGCGCCGTGCGTGGGCACGCGTGGCCCTCGAGCACATCGCAGCTCCCACCTGTAGAACGGGACCACGTCCAAGGCCGGCTGGCAAGAGCAACCCGTGGGTATCGGCGGAGCCCCGTTTCAACAGGGCTATTAAGATTCCAACACCTCAGAGTCATAAGGCTTAATGGGACCTTTTGTTATAGAACTTCAGCAATAAACTAAAATTGTTTGCTTCCGGTGGTGTGGAAAAAGCTAAAGGCCATTGAACTTGCTTAGGTAAGAAGGACTGTGGTTGCAGAGGTAGAGAAACCTACCCACACACACGTGCAAACAAAACTGTGGCCATGGTTTCTGACGCCAAGTCACAAAACAAAAACTGCAAGTCCTGAAAACTCCGACCTCCACCGTCGGCCAAATTACCTTTGACGGTCACAGAGATGGTCGTGTTCTCGCCAACCAGATAGCCACAGGGAAGAAGCTCGGGGGTCTCGGAGGTGTTGCTGCGCTTGATTTCCCCAATGCTGTAGCCCAGAACACTATCTGAATTCAGCCCCAGCTGACTCACGGGGTCGACGTGGATGATGTATTCCTGGGAAGAATAAAATCAAGACCCCGTCAAAGATGTGGCTAGAAATCTGCCCATGACTCATGTTTTCCTTGGGTGATTTATTATCATCTTCTCTCTCAGTTGATGCCTGGGTTGAAACCGAGCTGTGGAACAAGGAGGGGGAAGAGCTTTCTATGGGGATGATGACCAAGTATCACAGGCCTCTTCAAGTACAGATTTATTTGGTTAGTGATGTGGAGGGAGCCTAACACAATCGTGAACGTTTAGTCTGGATGAACCAGGCAAGGAAAAGTTAGACTGCTTTTCTTAAATTCAGCTGAAGTCCTGAAGACACCAGGGCCTGTGAATAGTGCTGGAAAATTCATGAGAAAGTAATTCGGACAAGAAATCTTCCCTTGGCTCACAGCAAACTATACACTTATGATAAAAGGAGCAAATCCCAGGGCTGCAAGAAAAAAGCAGCTTTTGGTCTTTAAACAGGAAAAACTGTGTTTAATTTGGAAAGTATGCCCTCTGAGGTGAGTGACCAAAAGGTTTTAGGTCAGTGAACCTGCACCGAAGGTCCGTGGACGAGGAGGTAGCTGGATGATGACTGACGTGGAATATCAAGAACAGGCCTCTCTACCTTTAATGGTCTCACTTCCTCACACGTGACGCCCCACAGGCTCTTTTCAGCCCAAACTGTTGTCTTTTTAATCTAAGATTAAACTGCCCTTCAGCAGAGTTCAGGTTTTGGCTCTAGGAAGCAGGATTTGTCTGCCCTCAGCCATTCACATCCCTTGGCCAGTCACATTTCCACAGCCTGCCAAGATGGGGAAGATCTTTGGCCAGAGAACAGAACACAGGGCTTCCTGTGGGTGAAGCCACCTGAATCTAGATGCTAGAAAGAGACCAGAGTGGACTGGGTAAGTCAGGTTTTAAAGTCAGACCAACTCAACTAGACCAACGTGGTTGTGTTCTAGCTCCATGATCTTGGGCAAGTGAGCTGACCCTTGCTTTCCTCCTCTTTAAGTGGGAAAATAATAGGACCTTCCTCACAGGCCTGGAAATAAATTGGGGTAACGTTAGCATGGTCTCTGGCACCAAAAATGCAGGCTACCAATAATGCTTAGGGGATATGATTAATGAACGCTTATGATTGCTGATTCCCTTCAGGACAGTAGGAAAAAAAAAAGGTACAAAAAGCTTCTTCCAAACCACCTTGTGCTTGCAGGTTCTCCTCAGTACTCATGAGTTATTTCTCCCGTGACAAACATCCACACTCACTCCAGTGATGTGACTAGAACAAATACGAAAATAACTATGCCATCATCTTTGACTCTGGACATTGATCAGATGTTAATGTCACAAGAAGCACAAATCATAGACTGTGAAGTGTTGGCCAGGATGCTGGGCAAGTCAGATCAAATCCCCCAGAAATGAAGAATGGAAATTTGAGGTCTTAGCCCTGGCCACAGGGCACTCATTCAAAGTATATTCAATAGGACACAATTCTAAGGTGAAGAGAGAATTTGGATATTAGCAGTTCACCATGCGAGGCTCAAATAACTGCTTGAGGCCAGGGAAATGACTCTCACTGGCTGGCCAACCACTGCCAAGGGTAGCCAGGAACAGGCTGGCCAATCACCAGTCTGTTCTCACCATCCCCGTTACCGGAGTGCCCAGAGACAAGTACCAGCAACACAAGGGTGGGGGCAGACCCAAGCAGTGGCCACGTTCAGGACACAAACCGCCCCTTCCCTCCCAGAGCTCAGGCCCCCACTTCAGGCAGACAACCGTAGCCGTCCTCTTAAGACACTTACTTTGAACAGTCGTCTAACCACCCCATCGAGCACATCCCACTTCGTCTTGCCACTAACTCCAATGCAGCCAATAAGAAAGAGGTGTGGTCTGGAATCCTAAGGGTAAGGAAATGTACGCAGGTGAAAAACAGGCGGATCTTTTCTGACACAGTTTAGCAAGGACTCAGATTGCCTTAGGACTCCACCAGTGGTTTGAGAGGGGGAATAAAAGTCCTATTTGTTATTAACACCAAATACAACGTAGATGGAATACAATAGTCTTAAAAACTTTCCCTGCTCTCTTGCAAAAACAGTAGTCCATGGGTCAGGAAGAGAGGATCTCCTCTCTGGAATCTAGAACCTTCTACTACAGGTGTGCCTTGTATAGTGCATAGATCACATGCCTTGCCTGGAATGCTCTCCCCTCTCCTGTCTGCCATCTCTCCCTTTCCAAACCTTGCTTGCAAACTCACCTCTTCCAGGAAGCCTTCAATGATTAACCCACCAGGCGCAGAGCTCACATTGCTTCACCAGTTCTGTACATAACTGATATATTATCATATTCTGTACTTGTTTATTTTTAGGTATTTATGTCTTATTTGTATATCAAGTTTATCTCCTTGCTAGATCTTAAACTCCTTCAGAATAGAATATGCTCAATTATTTTCTTTTTTAAATAATGTTTATTGCTTTTCTGCTAATTAAAAGTTAAAACATACTCAAATCAGAAAACAAGTAAAACTCTGCAAAGTTCACAAAAAATACTTTTTCTACTGCTTTTGAATTTCACCCACAGGGCTCTCTGCACAGGGGGGGTTAACTAATCACAATGATTAAAGAAAAATTAATAGAATATTCCATTTGGTCGCATTTTAAAATCTTAGCTCTGACATGCTCAGAAGAATACAGAATTAGGAGAGTGGCAGCAGGCAGTGGGGGTGTATGTGGCAGTTAAGCAAAATCAGCAGAGAAAAGAGCACCAGTTTTATGGTGAGAAGATCTGGCCTCACCAGTTGCCTTATAACCTCAAGTAAATGATGCTTGGCGCTAGGTTTCAGTTGTAAAATGGAGGTAACAACGTCTGGTCGACCAATTTCATCTGGATGCCATAGTGATCCAGAACAACAGAGTTTTTATTTTTTTTATTTTTTTTTTTATTTTTTTAAAGATTTTATTTATTTGAGAGAGAGAGAATGGGAGACAGAGAGCATGAGAGGGAGGAGGGTCAGAGGGAGAAGCAGACTCCCCGCCGAGCAGGGAGCCCGATGCGGGACTCGATCCCGGGACTCCAGGATCATGACCTGAGCCGAAGGCAGTCGCTTAACCAACTGAGCCACCCAGGCGCCCCAGAACAACAGAGTTTTTAAAAGGGACTCAAACTTCTGTAAAATGTAGAATCTACCTGCTCCTGTTGAGGATCATTGGGTTAATGCACATCCCCAGATATCACCTGAATTTTTTGTAAGAATGTTCTAAGAATGAATTTTCCCTGATAGTCCTATCACGCCACTACTTAAGCTCTGAAAACAGACTTCCTTATATTTCTTTTTATATGTAAAAGACACATATTTTTAGGTTAGATGAGGAGATAATCACTGGCAGCTCCAAACTCTGGGCCTCCCCACCTTCCACAAGACTAGAGAGCCAGCCACACAGTGGAATCCTCTAGCAAAGAGAGTCTGGCTGCAGACAGCTCTGCTGTGGTGGGCACGGCAGGGTTCCCTGGCACTCCTAGGCGACAAACAGCGTGTCGGCAAGGATGCTGAGAAACAACAAACAAAGAGCTGAAGAAGGACTTGAAATAACCCCTCGTGAAATCTTCCTCCGCTTATTTGAGAGATGGTTGTTAGAGCATCATGTGGATTCAATCAATGGCCAAAAATCAACTCTGTCAACCCCCATCCCCTACCCCCAAAATAGTCCCTAGTGTGGGTGTGGCCTCCTCAGGCTCTGGAAGAGAACAGGAACCACTCAGAAAACTCAAGATTCCTCAGTCTTGGGGAGTCGGGACGCCCCACCGGCTTCACGTCAGCCACCTGTGTGGCTCGGCCCCGTCGGTGTCCCACCTTGTCCGCGGTCTCTGAACACTGGACAAGACTGGTGCTCTTGGTCAGCTGCATTTGGTCAGCTTGCTTCTGTGCCTTCTGCGCTAACTGTGCTTAGCTGCCCCTGAAGGGCTTTCGGAACACATCAAATTCAGAAAAGCCGTTTCTGACCGATGTTAGTGTTTAGTTAGTTCTGTGCAAGGGCGACATGGGAGTATCTTTAGTACTCTTTATTAGACTTTCCAAACGCGAGAGGGAGGAGGGAAGGGCCGTTTGCTTACTTTAATCGTGTCAAAATGCTGCTGGGGATCGTGGTGGTTAGTTAAGGAAAGTGTTAGTAGTACCTCCGAATCACCTTTGGTGCTGAGGTGATACGCTCTGACGATGCCATCTCTACACTAGGTAGGGACAAGCAGAGCAGGGAAAGGGATCCGACTAACCTCCTTCCACTTCATTTCCTCCTGAAAGCTGACAACTATCTTAACATGCCTGCCTCCTTCCTTCCGAGCCGAGCATTCACCAGTGTCATCCAGCAACATGTCTGCGAATGGAAAACATCAACAGCCTTAGGCACATGGGGACAGCAAAGCCGGCTTCCCGACACCCCCGCTGCTTGTTGGCACGGCAGCGGGACAAACCAGGTGTCGGGGTGCAGGGAAGTGGGGTGGGGGAAGGGGAGAGGGCAGAATGGAGAATGCAACCACAGAAACCAATGGTGGACCAACCAGAGAACCAGCAGGCTGACGATGCACTTTGCCAAATGGAAGTGCGAGGCAGAGGCTCAACCAAAACAATAGCAACGCAGCGTCATGGGTAAGAAATCAAAGTGTCAGCCTCAATATGCTTACAAAGAAAACCTACGTCATGTTCGCTCATGATGGTGCTGGCCAGGAATCCATCTTGAAGGCAGGAAGACCACAGACCAAGCCATTGCCCCAAAGGGGACCTGCTACTATGGGGTTTCTATGCAGCATTCGGCTGTAGGTCAGCCTCTTAAAATGGATCAAACAGAACTCAGCATGGTGGACAAGAGGATCCAAGCTAATGGCCTGGAGAACTGGGGGCACTGGAGCAAAGCATGACAGCAGTCTAACGGCTGAGCTCATGTCGGTAGCAGACGCACGCCCAGACACACACACACACCCCAAGTGCACGCACGCCTGTTGCCTCGCCATTTGACCTTTTCATCTGCTTCTCTTGGGACTCCTGCGCGGAGAGTGGAGTGCCGGCTGCAGGCCCTGGCCTGCCCGCAGCCCCGGGATGCCACTCACCCAGGCTGGTTGACTCCGTGAGGTTCAGGCTGTGCTGGGAGAGGCCCATGGACTGCCTAGGGGAGGCCGAGAGGGACACCTGGGAGGGCGCCCGGCTGCAGCCACTGCCTTGAGACTCGGACTTCAGCCGGTCGTTCTCAGCTTTCAGCTTCTCTATTTCACTCTGCAAAGAGTAAGGGAGAGGCTCGCTCACCAGGTGGATGGAACACGAACAAGCATCTTCTGGAGGAGGGACGGGATAGTCCCGTGCAGGGATCAGGCGGGAATCCAAGCCGAGGCCCGGCCAGCCACACCATCGGCGAGGTCCGGCCGCGCTGGCTGTTCTCGCGTGCACACAAGACCCTGTCTGGCGGGGCATCTCCCTTCAGTCCTCTCCTTGTGGACAGATGGCCTTTGAAGACCTCAGAAATGCTTCCCAGAGCCTGTTGCCTGAGTCTTTTTTTTTTTTTTTAAAGATTTTATTTATTTATTCATGAGAGATAGAGAGAGAGGCAGAGGCAGAGGGAGAAGCAGGCTCCCCGCGGAGCAGGGAGCCTGATGTGGGACTCGATCCCAGGACCCTGGGATCATGACCTGAGCTGAAGGCAGACACTTAACCGACTGAGCCACCCAGGCGTCCCTGTTGCCTGAGTCTTAACTGAGAAAGAGTCTTACCATCCGAGAGGTTCGCGAGACTCTGGGCTTGACAGGTTTCTTTCCCGTAGGGCTTAGAGCCTTTAGGAGCTCCTCTGCACGGTGGACCTGAGAGGAGGCGCAGAGCGTGCAGCAGTCCTACACACAGCTGAGCCTGGAGCTCTCCTTTCAGAGCCTCTCACGGAACAAGCACTCTATGGAACCTCCTTTGGGAAATGTTGGTTCTCCAGTGACGGCCCATTTGGCAGAGCCCACAGGGCTCTTTCATCTCTACACTTCTACAGGGAAAAACCTACCATGTGCACAGCATCGGGGCTGCATCCAGAGAAAGGGATGCCCAAAAAAGAACAGCCAGAAGACCCAAACGCCTTCTAGTCCAGGGTGGTAGGTGAGAATACCTCTAGAGGAATTCAGATGAGGGCACTAACTCACAGATGCAGGACCTGGAGAAGCTTTGTAGAGGGGGAGGCTAATCCTTGAGGGAAGGATCCAGTTCGGCTGTGCAGAAGGCTCTCCCCGCAGAGGGAACACAAGGACTATGACACAGAAATTCCTGGCGCCGGCAAAGGGAGCGGTCAGGGGCTCCCTCTGGCTGATGAGTCTGGGAAGTGGAACTGCAAGTGGGTGGGTGGCAGATTCCGAGTACAAAGGATCCCACAGAAGCCCTCGGCAGGGTGGGGGGGTGGGAACCATGGTACGCGGAGCCACTGGAAGTCACACCACGGGGGGAGGCATGGTTCTGTCTAGGCTTTGAAAAGATTCGTCTCTGAGCAATATCTGAGAGGGCATGAGAAGAGAAGGAGCCTTGCTCCTCTGGAAAAGAAAGAGCAAAAAAGAGAGGAGGAGAGAAAGAGGCTCGCAAAGCAGAGGGCTGACACTTTCTGTGGACCCGGGGGCGTGGCGGACAGCAGTGCTCCTTCCCGGACAGCCTGGGGCTCGGCCCGTGCTCCGGGGCTCACCTGCATCCTGTTCATGGCCTCCCGGAGCTGGTCAAGCTGGTGTGCGGAGCTGAGGGCTTCTAGGCGGATGTCTGTCAGCTTCATCTCCTTGTCTCGCAGCTCATTTCGGAGCTGCATGACCGTCTCGGCTTCACTATCAATGCACTCTGAAATGCTAGGGAAGGAGAGGTATTAACTGATGAGAGCAGCTCTGAGATCATTTCCCTTCAGTCCTCCACTGACCACCGGCCCATGTCCACCAGCAGGTTTGTTCGGCAGTCACCCTGTCTAACCAGCCGGCCGGGGCTTCCCGGAGGCGATAACACCAAAGCTCCTGAAATTCACAGACCATATTGCTTCTCTATGCTCTTTCTTTGCAGAGCTCAGGCGATCAGAATGGCTTTGGTGTACCTTCAGCAAAATTCCAATAATCTGGGATAAACAGGAGTCGGCAAAAGGGAGTAGTAACCTTCGGGGTTTGAAACCAATCCCCCCATCCCCATGTGTACACAGTTGGGCCCCTGTAATGACACCGCATGGCCCTTGAGATCTAAACCCACTCAGAGAAGGAGGGTCAACTGTCTGTTTTAAAGATTAGACACTCTAAGGTCAAATAGCTGAGGGGTGATTTTTATTTGCCCCAAAGTGAAAGTAACCAAAAGATTCTCGTGGAAGGAGTTAGTCTATTTTGGGTTACATTCTAAAACTCAATCTTTTAAAAGTGTCTTAAGAGAGCAACATTCTTTCCTTCCCCCCACTTGCCCAGACTGCTTAAATAAGCTCATGGCAAGGAAGAGAAGCATCTCAGATCATCAGAAAGCAGACAGGAGGATATGACACAAAAGTCCCAGTTTTATGTGAAAACTGAACAGTTGTGTGGGGCTTGATGTCTTTCCAACTGCATGCCAGATCGGGGGACCCCAGGGCCCCGTGGAGTCCCTCTGTCTTAAGCGGTGGTCCATCTAGGCTGGGTTCCTTCTGTGATTAGTTAGGTTTGCTGTTCAGATACCTGACAAGGCAGCATTAAATGGAAGATCAGAAAAGTCATGATGAATCGCCATGTTAGAAAAGAGGGCTCTCTAAAAAAAAAAAAAAAAAAAAATTAAAACAAAAAAAAAGGGTCTATTGATTTCAAAGATCATTGGATCCAGGGTTAGGGGTGATCCAGAATGAGTAGCTTTCACATTTCTTGGACTGAAGATAGAAAAAAAGGAAAAGAAAAAAAAAAACCCCACGTTCATAAAGTTACAAAGCTGAGGTTGATTATCTCCGAAAGACATGGTGAACATGTGGTCTCTGCAGAAATAATCGTGTAGCCCACTCTCCAAGACCAAATCCTGGATTTGAGGCCAAAAAAAGCCTGACCTGTAAAACTGGTTGAGGGTGTGGAAATGTTCATTGCCAGAGGGAAACCATTTATAATTGTTAAAAGAGATGTAATTGTATTTTGGGGGCAGAAAGGACTAGAAGAAAAGTTTAACACCTGAATGGCCAAATCTTTTCTGTTGTTATTTTCTCGACCTGCACCTGAATGGTTTTCATTTGAGAGATGCAAAGAGAGGAAAACTACCTCTGATTTTTAAAAGTGGTTAACAGCCAAGGAAGTTTCTTGGCTTCAAAATCTTCTAAAACCTCTAACAAACTCCTAAAAATGTTACAATTATTCCCACCCTATGCCTGTGAGAAACTGAGGCTAAAAGATCTGGGATAAGAGGCTAGAAAATATCTTTAGACTTCAGATCCTCCTATTGCTTCTTGGCCTTTTGCCTAAGATCAAATGTAGACTTCAGATCCTCTTCTCCCCACCCCCCCACCCCTGTGCTTTGACTAGCCTAAGGTTTGTAAGGTTTAACTATATGGTCATGCCTTTTCTGGTTTGCCAAGGTTTGCAGAGGGAGCTCGCAAACACTGGCTTCTTCTTCAGAGAGGAGTATGGTTTCCTGGTTTAAATGGAGTGTAAAGTCTGAACCAAATTCCATCGTGACACTCCAATCTTTGCTAAACCGCGCCCTGCATGGACCTCAGAGGCTCCAGTTCACTGCAGGGAATTGTTGGCTTCGATTCACACCATCAGTCTGGTGTGTCTGGCCCTCTGCGGCAGGCGTCTTGCCCCAGTCTCCTTCACAGGGTCTGTACCTTCCCCCTAGAAAGCTTTCACAGCAAGAGAGACAAGACTTCTTCAGCACCTGCTTTGTGGGATATATTACATGGGCTACTTCGCAAAACCTGGCCAGTGACTTTACAAAGAGAAGCAAACTAAGATAAGGCTTGTGTTGAGAATAAGTGCACCAAGAGTACTATGCTCCCCCAAAATAGCCCAGTTCTCAGAAACACTCAACTGCAAGATGACATGGGAGGAATATCCTACTCAACAGAGATGACGTTGAAAATTAAATTCTTTAAGATTTAATTTTCTAGCAATCTCTCCACCCAATATGGGCTCTAACTCAGAACTCTGAGATCAAGAGTCTGGCAGAATCCACCGACTGAGCCAGCCAGGTGCCCCAAAATTAAGTTCTTCTGCAACAGTCCCAGCTAAGTTTTAGTCTCTAACCCTAGTGCCCAAGGCAGCACCTTTTCCCTTGGTTCCTTCTACACTAGCCTTCCGTTAGGTCTGATAATTTGGTTGCGCTTAACAGGTTACCCCCTGCATGGCTGCTGGCTGTTCCAGGACCAGGGTTCTCGGCATCACTTCCGGTGTCTAATCACACTGGCTGATACGTAATAGGTGCTCAGCAAATGCTTACTGAATACATGAACAACTGTGCCAGGTATCTGATGTATATTATTTAATTTACTCCATCGTGGAGATGTATTACAATTATCCCCTTTTAACAGAGGATCATAGGGGAAGGGAGGAAAAAATGAAACAAGATGAAACCAGAGAGGGAGACAAACCATAAGAGACTCTTAATCTCAGGAAACAAACTGAGGGTTGCTGGAGTGGTGGGGGTGGGAGGGATGGGGGCGCTGGGTGATGGACACTGCGGGGGGGTATGTGCTATGGTGAGCACTGTGAACTGTGTAAGACTGATGAATCACAGACCTGTACCTCTGAAACAAATAATACATTATATGTTTAAAAAAAAGAAAAGAAAAGAAAAAGAAGATAATAGGAAGGGAAAAATGAAGGCCGGGAATCAGAGGGGGTGATGAACCATGAGAGACTATGGACTCTGAGAAACAAACTGAGGGTTCTAGAGGGGAGGGGGGTGGGGGGATGGGTTAGCCTGGTGATGGGTATTAAAGAGGGCACGTATTGCATGGAGCACTGGGTGTTATACACAAACAATGAATCATGGAACACTACATCAAAAACTAATGATGTAATGTATGGTGACTAACATAATAAAATAAATTTAAAAAAACCCCAAAAAACAATTATCCCCTTTTAAAAAGGGGGAGGCTGAGCCCTAGAGAGATTAACGTGACCATTAAAAAAATCAGGATAACAGAACTGGGATAGAATCTGGTGGGTCTCCCAAGTCTAGAGTCCATGCTCCTGAACTATATCCAGCAGGCACTCAATACATGCTCATCCACTTCATGGACTACTTACTGAAGCAACGTGATGCAGATTTTTTCCGACTCAGTCCCTAACATGTTACTCCCATATTTCCACTGTCTCGGCCAGATGCAGGGCTGGTGGCATACCTAATTTTCAACGCCTCAAGTGTGGGAAACACTGCCTTCCCATACCACCATTCTTTTCGCCCACAGGGTAGGAACTTTTCTGGACCCCTGACCCCCTCTGCCTTGGGTTTCTTCTTTGAACTTCCTCTCACATCTAGATTTGTACATTCTTACAAACCCTCCAAAGTTGGAAAGAAGCATTTGCTCTCTGCCCACACTCTGGAAAACCAGACCCAAAACAAACACCTCCGGTGCGCCTGGATGCTGTGGAACGCCAGAGAAGGGCAGCAGCGCCCAGAGTCTGCCCCGCCCAATCCCTACGGGGAGAGCGGGCTTGGAGGCAGCATTCTCTCGATGGCCACCGGGAATGCTGCACAGCCAAGTGCACCATCCACTCTCCCTCATCCTCGCCGGCTGCCCGGCAGCACTTGGCCCAGCTACCGCCCCCCTCCCAGCAGTTTCTTTTCTCGGCTCCCAGGTTCCTCCCACCTCTGCCCATCCCGTTGGCTGTTCTCCTTGCTCTTTCGAGCACCCAGAGCTCAGTTGTTGGCCCTCTGGCTCCTCTCCATCTCTATCCAGCCCTGTGGAGAATCCTCCAGGTTCCCAGCTTTCAGGACCACCCACGAGCCCATGTCTCCCAGATCTATACCTGCAGGAGTCCCAGGCTGGCTGGTGCCTCCACATGGATGTCTCCTGAGCAGCTTGGACTTAACAGTCAAGCCAGAGCTCCTGAAGCCTGCCCTGCCCTGCCCATGCCTCCTACCCTTTCCAGACACATACCCAGGTACGCAAGTTACAAATCTAGGAACACTCAAGGATTATTCTTCTCTTTCCCGCACACCTGACATCACCACGTGCTGTCAACTTTCTTCTAGAACACATCTTAAAGCCACCCAGGACTCACTACTACTCTGAGTTACCATTTGTTTCACCTAATCTTTGAATGTCTGCAAATCCCACAGGAGCTACCCCCATGTAGCTCATACTGTATTTTTTTGGGTGGCGGTGGTGGTAGGGACAAAGAACAAAGAACTAATAACTTGAGGAACTCTACAGGTCAGGTGGTGACATGTGCCATGGTGAAAAACAGAGCATGGGTCAAGGGGGTGACGGGGAGTGTTGGCTGTGGTGGGGGTGTTATTTTATGCAAGGTGTGCAGGCAAGGCATCAGTGAGAAGGAAACATCGAGCAGGGACCTGAAGAGAGAGACTATCTAGGGGAAGAGTGTACCAGGCAGAGGGCACGGAAAGGGCAAAGGCCCGGGGGTGTGTGACTGGAGTGTTCAAAGGACAGAAAAGAGGCCAGAGTGGGATGGACGGCGGGAGAGCGCTATTAGCCTTTTATGTGGTTGCCATACTTTTGCTCCCCCGAATTCCTTATCTGCAGAAAGGAGACTGATCTTTGTGAAACATGAATTCAGATGATCTCACACTCCTGCTTAAAACTCTCCAATGCATGGGGCACCTGGCTGGCTCAGTCAGTGGAGCGTGTGGCTCTTGATCCTGGGGATCATGAGTTTGAACCCCACACTGGATGCAAAGATTACTTAAGTAAACTGAGAAGAAAAAAAAAAACCTCTCCATGGGGTGCCTGAGTAGCTCAGTCTGTTAAGTATCCACCTCTTGATGTTGGCTCAGATCACGATCTCTCAGGGTCGTGAGATCGAGCCCAGCATCGGTCTCCGTGCTCAGAGGGGAGTCTGCCTGGGATTCTCTCTCCCTCTCCCTCTGCCCCTCTACCTCCACCCCTTGCTGTCTCTCTCTCTCTCTCTCTCTCAAATAAATCTTAAAAACAAAACAAAACAAAACCTCTCTCCAATGGCTGATAACCCATCACACATAGAAGCAGATGCAAATTTATTTTGACTTCAAAGCCTCCCAAATTCTGGTCCTGCCTGCCTCCATGGCCTCCTTTCCTACCACTTTTTTACTTCCCATCATGCAGCAGCCACGCTCGCCACCGGCCAACCCTCTTTCCCAGACACACCCAGCCTGTCTCCACCTTAGGCTCCTTGAGATCTGGGGGTCAGGAAGGCTGCAGGGAGCCTATTTCCTTTCCCTCCTGGGTGCGGAGATTTCACTTCTTTCCTTGTGGGTGGGAGGGCCCTGCGCAGTGGACTGTGGGAAGAGGGGACATGTGTCTCCCCAGGCCTGGCCCATAAAACTCTCCTGCACACTCTCTTCCCTCCCCCCACCCACCTGCTGGCTGGACACAGAGTACTCAGCAGAGAACTCCGGTCCTGTGGGATGGCTGGTGCACAAGATGGAAGGAGCCTTCCATGGCAGGCCGCCTGCTCACTGACGAGGAGTATCTGTGCTGGGTTCAGAGTGAACCAGAGATAAACAGTCCTATGTCAAGCCACTGAGCTCTGGGACTGTGTATGTTACAGCAGTCAGTGCTATGGACCAGAACTAACCAGTGGTCCCTCTTATCATGCAGATCTCAGCTGGAATGTCACCTCCTTTCCTGACCACCCTGTCCACAGTTGCTGCCAAGTACTCTGTATCCCAACATACTATTTTAATTCCCAGCATAAACCCTTAGCTGATTGTTTTCTAGTTTATTCAGATTTGTTTCATGTCTGCCTTTTGCCCGGGGTCTACCAGAATTGGAACTTCATCCATCTGGTACACTGTTGTACCCGGTGCCTGGCCTGGAGCGGGAACAGAAGCTCAGAAGTGAAATGAGCTATAGTGCGTTGTCCCCACTGGTCCCTAATCCCCAGGGGTGGGACTCCGGTTAACATCGGCTTTGGTCTCTGCAGCACATCTAGAGCAGAGCCCTGCTCACGTGGGTTGTTACATCCAACGTTTAAATCCACAAATAAAGAATAGGGGAGGAGTTCCTTTTTCTCCTGGTCAGAGAAACTGAGATGCTCTGGGATGATGGATTGCATACGTCACAGGCAACCTTTCCCTTATTTACCTCTCAGGCTCCCTGTAGGTCAAACAGGACTCACACTCTCGGGTATTTATGTAATTCTTTACACAGGAGCACAGACTTGGGGTGGCCACTGCAGGGATGCACTGCCGTCCCATCCTCCGTGTCCCCCCACCCACCCTGGTTTGCGCCTCACCCATAATGAAGTACACGAACCTGCGGCCATCCTCTTACCAGGGTGCTCCTCAAGAGGAGAGGAGCTGCTAATCTAATGAAGTGAAATGGAGACCCCCCAACAGAGCCATGCTTCATGGGTGGGTGGGGTTGCTGAGAAGTCGAGGCTCTCTGCTGTTTCCGGTCTCCCACTTCCTGTCTTCTGTGGTGTCCAGGCAGTTGGTGCGCTGCAAAGACGCAGCTGAGCCCCTCGTCCACACTGCCCGCACCCATCCCGAAAGTCGGCCTTGGGAGACGTGTGCAGCTGCTGTCTTCAGCAGGGTGGCCTGCTGCTTAAGTGGACTTAGGGACAGCTCCCTACACCTGGCCTCCTGAGACTGAAGGAGAAGAGGAAGGAGGTCCTTCATGCACAGTATCTGCCTGGGCCCTCACAAGAATCCACGGAAGGAGATGTAATTAATCTCACTTTCACCCATGATGAAACTGAGGCATCTACAGACACCCACTTTCTTGTCCAACCCCAGCCACAGTGGCTGTCTTCCGGCCACTGTCTCATCTCACTAAGTGTCCCTGCAAAGCACTTGAGCTGCCGTTCTTCTTTCCCTCTTGGCCTGGTATACCATGGCCTCTCAGGGAATTCGGTCCTATGGGGCAGCCCCAATCTTTCTCACAGCTGCAGGGAGCTGGCTGTGCCGCCCTCTGAGCTGACACCTGGGTCCCCACCTGTCGATCTCAAGCCATTCCTGATGCGCTCCTGCCTCCAGAGTCTGGGCTTTCTGTTTTCAGATGGGGCACAGGACTGTCTCCCTACACCCCTGATGGAGCAATGATCAGTGGGTGCTCACTGGAAATCATGGGAGGTTGGCTGGGCAAGAGAAGAGGACTTTTGCCATCTGCATACCTAGTTGCCAAGGGGAATAGCACCTAAGCCAATGTCCCGTGAGCAAACACCTGTCTCACTTAACAGAAGCAGCTGTGTTCCCAAAGAGCTCTTTACAGACGGACTCGTTTAAAATTTACTGGGGAGTCCCTGGTGATGAATCATTTTACCAAATAGAGAACCCTTTGGTAAAGAGAATTATCACTGAGTCTTCTCCATTTTTTAAACTTCCAATTGCTGAGTGCTGACCTCAGAGAAAGAATCACCACCAAATTTTGATCAGAGAAGAATGGTGAAATCTCTTTAAGTCCTATCACAAAATGAACTAAAATTTCAGCAAAAACTGTTAACATTCACAACACTATCTTCCCCCTCTCAGCAAGATGGTTGTAGCTCTTTCACATCCATTTATCTTGTCTGATCCTTAGGATAGGATAAGTAGCCAACAATCATTATCCGAGTTTGACAAATAAAAAAATGGAAACAGAGGGGTTAAGCACTTGCCCATGGCCACTCAGTGACACCATCAGAACAATGTAAGATTCCTTTCTCTTTCAACCTCTCCAGTCCTAAAACACTGGAAGAACATGCCCAGTCCTATGAAAGCATGATGTACAAAACTCCAAGGAGAAAATGAATGGTTAACAGGACACCTATCCATTCCTATTTGGGAGGGTTCCTGGGGGCCAAAGGCATCGTCTGACCCACGTGTGTCCCTGACAGACAGACTTACAGGGAGTTGGAGTGAGAGCCCCTCAACAGTGGCGTGGAACCTGTGGAACCGTTGTGTGGTAGCTTTGGTGAGGAAGGCAACGAAGAATCGGTCATCTCCTCGATGTCTGAATGAGAGGACGCAGACTTGGGGGACTTCTTCTTCCCGAAGGCTTGCTTGAAGGAGCTGCGTAACTGAACATACAAGACTGTCAGCCAGGCAGGGGCGGCAACCAACACTCAGGCCTTGGCAAAACAGAGACATGCAGACAAAAGAGCAATTAATTCTCCCATGTTCCCCCCCCCACCACCACCAATGACAAAGGTTCCCAACAGCTCTCTTGAATCAGTGCAGTAAGGGAAGAAGAGTTATCTGGTGCTGACAGCTCAAAGGACTGGACCTGTGGGTGACATTCCATGCCTACTCCTGCTTCGAGGCTAGATGCCAACAGCAAGACAGAGCCTGGCTCAGCAGATGGATGGCGGGAGGATGAGGTTACACAGCAACAAAGCAGGATGCTCAGACATGGTGACGGATGCAGAGGAGATTAGTCATATCAATGGATGGGTTAGCTTGGTATCTGATATTAACGTTGGTCTTGCTTACCTCATTGACCTGCCAGGGCAAACGCAAGCAAAAATGGGGAAGGGGAAGGAAAAAAGACAATTTTTAACAGAGAAAGCCAGTGACAGGGAAAGCCTTGGACTTTTCAGACATAACATGGCCAATAGTAAACACCACACATAGAGGAGGTTGCCGGTAGGAACACGAATCTTCCAGAGCATTAGAGGCATCTGCCTTCACTATGAAAGGAAAGGAATAGCGCTTCTGGAAGTCCCTACAATCTGAGCTCTTCCAGCTTCTTTGGCTGAAATGACTGCCCCCAACCTTCCTGTGGTTCTCACCCTTTTGTCTCTTAAGGCCTTAACTTTGTTTTTTTTGGCATGTCTGTGTCTTCTTTTCTGAGAGAGAATAGCTTCACTTCTGAGCTAGTCCCAACACGGCTGTAGAGCCTTCGGAGAGATCTACTTAGGAGTTCCTGCTGTCCTTGGGTACACATAAGATGATAGAATAAGCAGGGACTTAGCCGTCTCACTTGTTACTCAAAAAAAGTAGGCATTTGTAAGAAATGTATTAACTATATTGGGAAAAAGGAACTGGCATATCACAAATTCCCCAAATCATGAGCTGGATCTGAAAACTCTAATGAGAACATAAAGAATTCAAGTACAGGGTCTTCTCTGAAAGCCACAATAAGCACGTATATTTCTAGACCAAAAAAATTAAGTTTTGTCTTGAAAAAAGGTCTTTTAAAAAGTAATTTCTGTTTTACTAAATCTTTCTTTCCTTCTGAAAACATCCTGGAGGTTTTCTTAGCCATTAAGAAATTCTGAAACAGGCCATTCTGAACTAGTTAATGGGATTTTTTTTTTTTTTTAACCCATCGGCATTACATCCATAAGGAATGGCATGTCCCAGTGTGGCTGATCGAGATCCCATTTCCTACTTTTCATCAAATTTCCAGGTACAGAAACAGAAGGATCTGGCACACAAACCATCAACCTAAAGCCTCTGGTAAAGGGCCAACTGGAAGAGGAGATTACAAGGATTAGACAGAATTAAGTTTTGAGATCACCTGAAAAATGCCCATTATCCAACTTCCCCAATTCTACCGATAACCAAGACCCGTCCTAATGCAAGTAAGTAAGTTTTAGTTCTTGAATTGGAGAATGGATCAACACTGTTTTTCATAGAAAATAATTCTCTCTCATCACTTTGATAATCAAGTCAGACCATATTTTACCAAGAGTATATTAGAAACAGCAACATATGTTAATCCTATTTAAGGCATAGCGAATGAGTTGACTAAAAGCCATTAGTAACAAAGAAAAAACTTCATCAGAATGATGAGAGGGTCACACTGAACTGGCCTTATAGTCTTCTAGTGCAAGTCGTCAGTAATTGAAATTACTCAAACCTCAAGTGCTCTATTACTAGACCTCGCCACCCATCCAAGATAACACAAAATGAGGGAGAAGTGTATGGAATGAATGAGGACATTGAAGCTACTATGGAAACACGATGTTGTCAGCACTGAAGGATGGGGCCCTGTGAGCACTAGCCCACTCCAGATCAACCTGGAATATCCCTGCACTGAAGACAGGGAGCAGCAAATGTCAATCAGAGCTCCACAGCCTCGACACCACTAAAAAATGGGTGGGTACAAGGGTGCCTGGCTGGCTCGGTCAGTGCAGCATGTGACTCTTGATCTCAGGGTCGTGAGTTCAAGTCCCACACTGAGCATAGAACCTACTTAAAAAAAACTGGGTGGGTGGGTATAATATTCCCAGGAGAATGGGAAAATACTGCTCAAGACACCACTGTACAGAAATTCAAGTGGCTCACTGGGATTATGGAAACATGGAGAAATAATGCATTGGAGACCAGCTCTACTAAACTTGCCATTTTGAAGTACAATGCACCAGTTTAAAACCTTTCACTAACTCCTAATATCTACATCATAAAGCTTTTACTTACAGGACATGGTCAAAAATTGTTCAAAGAAAATTGGTTTCATGCTATCATATGGAATTGTGTGAAGAAACAGATAAGGATTATGGATAATGATGGGATAACTAGCAATACACACTCCAAAAAAATAAATAAATAAACAAGAAGAAACCACTGAAGAGTAATTTTGCTCTAGTACCTGGAACTCTGTGGCTAACGTTATGAGGAGGATGAAATGACACGTATATGAAATGAAAGATGAGTATGTCACAGAAAGTCTCATGAAACGGAAAAACTCCAAGATGGTGGTACTTTCGTTAAGTCCTGGTACTTGAGCAGCTGAGCACAACACTGAGTTTAGTGGAAACCTATCCGTAAGCTTCTGTGGATCCACTCCCAAAGGTCTATGCTTTGGGGGGAGACACACTGGTCTGTTAGTACCCACAAGGTCTCTGGATGCCTACTCACCCAATTCTTTCTCTTCTTCTTCCTGGCGTCACTCTCCATGTTGCTGCCCACGCTGGAGTGGCTGGTAGTGCTGTTGATGCTGGAGACACTATCAGAGGAGTGCTGTCTGCGGATGCGGAGGTCTGTAGACTGCGAGGTACCGCTTCCTGGGGACCCAAGGCAGGAGATCAGCGGCTGCCACCTTCAGCCCACTCCTCTGTTCCAGGGAATGACTCTCACAGCTAAATCTGCACCCCTGAGGACCGCTAGGTATTTCCCATTCAACATCACCTTCTGCTCTCAGCTGCTGGTTTTAAGATCCTTGAGCAGGTACACGTTAGGCCCTCTTCAGTCAATTAAACCAGGGCCCAATTTTAGCCACTCCACCAAAAAGAAGTCAGGGGAGGCTTCGAGAGAGAATTCCCAACCCCCCCCCCCCCCCCGCCAGCTCTCTTAAGCTTGAGACAGGCACCGATTAGGTCTCTGAACGGTGGCAGTCACCTGTGTTGTCTGGGCATCCCCCCCCCGGCCCCACTCTGTTCTGTACGCTCCTGCCTCACTAGCCTTCTCTTGGCCCCTTGGCAATGCCGAGCCCGTCTCATCTCAGGGCCTTAACGTGGGTGAGCCCCTCCTCGCTTACTCGGGCTGGCCAAATCTCGCTAATCCCTCCCATTTCAACTCTGTCGTCGCGTTTCAGGAGGCCTGATATCTGAAATAACGGTGATGCCCAATAAAGGGTATGGCCAGTTTCCTGCGCAAGCACAGAACAAAACCCGTAGCCTACTCTTTAAGAACACGGGCTGCAGAGTCAGAGAGACCTGGGTTCTAGCCCCACTTCTCTATCTTATTACCCTGCGACCTCTGGATGAGACTCTCACTCCCACAACCCAGTGTTCTCCTCAGTCCCCTGTGGAGAGGACCAGCACTGCACTCAGAAGGTGGTGTTGGAAGGAAAATGAGATCATGAATAATTTACAACACGGAGCAGAGTGCTTAGGACAGTGAGAGTCCCGTAAATGCTGGCTGTCACTGTGACTTCTATCATCACGAGGTGTATCCCACTACAGCGGGAGGGCTCTCGTCCTCACAGCCCCATTTGGCCCCCCGGGGAAGATACACAAGCACGAAGCAATTGACTCAGAAATACTTCCCTGGACGAACATGAGATGCTCGTTTCAGGTTGGGCTGCATCCACATGTAAATATCAGAGCCTGATAAATCAGGGCACAGGTGAAATTAAGTGAAACACTTTTGATACTTTGCCAATAGACAGATTTCCTTCCGTTTTGGAGATACATTGGGGAAGAGGCTGAGCTTCCTAGGGGCCTGGATTATGGACTGAAAGCGTCTGCCTCCCAGGACCCGTCCGACTGACACGGACACGCACCCCGGGACAGGGAGGCTGCACCCCATGTTGTCAGGGGAGGGTTCCTAAGGGCAGGCAGGTGGGGCTGGAGACTGCCCCTCTTTCTTTTACCTTTGCAGTTGAGCTCCGGTGTGTTAATGACCCCATTAATGGCAGCCTGGGCGGCTGCGTTCTGTTTCTTCAGCAGCTCGATGGTTTTTCTTAACTCATTCAGTTCTGAATCCTGAGGAACAGCAAGAAATACTGGTCATCCTACAATCACCCTGTACAGAGTTCAAATGAAGCGCAACTCGGTTTCAGCATGGCAGTGTAGGCAACAAAGGAGTTCCACAAAAGCTCTTTCCCATGCGTTAGGTTGGATCAATTTTCAGCGGGCATAGAAGCATACAAAAGCAGCAGAAATAGGGGTGCCTGGGTGGCTCGGTTGGTTAGGCGTCTGCCTTGGCTTGGGTCATGATCTCAGAGTCCTGGGATCGAGCCGCGTGTGGGGCTCCCTGCTCAGCAGGGAGTCTGCTTTTCTCTCTGCCCCTCCTTCCTGCTTGTTCTCTCCCTCCCTCTCTCTCAAATAAATAAAATCTTAAAAAAAAAAAAAAAAAAGGCAGCAGAAATAGGGCTGTGAGATGTGGAGGGTTGCTGCCACTCCACCACCCCACCCCCATCCGGGCCGTATTTGCACTCAACAGGGTGCAATTCTTTATGATTCGACTCCAAGAGTTCAAATACACTAAAATCTATACCGTTCTCTGGGGCAAGAGGGAGTCTGATTTGGAGGTTTGCTGTTAATTCTAAGCAGGGAGGAATGCTTTACCTTTTGCTCAGCTGTCATGGTCAAACTCTGGAGCCTGATTGTCATGTTTCCAAGACTCTGTTCAAAGGCTGCCACCAGGTGAGCCTGGAGGAGGAAAGACACAGCCTTAGTTAGATTACCTTGCAAGGCAAGAGGGCCCAATGGGTGCTGGGTCTTAAAGGCTGAAATCCTCACTGGGGCCATGTGGGTTAGCTTCCGTCTACTTCTTCAGCCCCTGGAGCCCCACTCCCCACCTCTCTTTGAGATCCAGTCACTCCAGCTTATCACGTCCTTAAAGATCCTGTGCTTCTTCCCGCCTTAGGTCCTTTATACCTGCCTTCCCCTCTGCCTGGAATGCTCTTCCCCCACTACCTCCCTGTCTGATTTTTATACATCCTTCTCAACAGATCTCAGCTCGTGGGTGCCTGGGTGGCTCAGTTGGTTAAGCGACTGCCTTCGGCTCAGGTCATGATCCTGGAGTCCCGGGATCGAGTCCCGCATCAGGCTCCCTGCTCAGCAGGGAGTCTGCTTCTCCCTCTGACCCTCCCCCCTCTCATGCTCTCTCTCTCAAATAAATAAATAAAATCTTAAAAAAAAAAAAAAATCTGATTTAAGAGATCTCAGCTCGTATCTTCATGACACCCCCAGATGGGCTGGTTCCCTCGTGTGCACTCGCAAAAGCATGTGGGCTGCTGGTCTATGTGCATTTTGGTGCCATAGAGACACAGGTACTCTTGCGACTGCTGCCTCACGTCTGTCTCCTCTGCTTCCCTGTGCTTTGTTCACCAAGTGCCAAGCTCACAGGAGAGGCTCATGTCGAGCATGTTTGTAGAAGGGATGAACAAAGTGGCTGGCATATTTTGCTTGTTCTAATCCTGGTTAATAAAAAGCCACTGAAAGGCCCATCTGCTACCTCCTTGGAGAAACCTTCCCCTGTTCCTCCAGGGAGTTAGGACTTTCCCCCAAGGCCCCTCTGTACTTTTATACACCTCTGTTAGAACACATCAGACACCACTATTTCATATAGTACTAAAACATCTTGAAAAATGCTGCCAATTGTAATTAAAATATGCATCCCACTTTCAGAGATGTTAAAAATGTGGGGGAAAAACATGTATCTTAGAATTGAGAAACGGGATGGTTTTCTGTCTGCCCCTTTCTCTGCAACCCTCTTCAAGGACAAGATGCAACCTCATGTCCTAACATGAAGCCTTTTTCTTCCTCTGCAGAGCAGCAGGTGATGCATTGGTTGGTTGACTGAGGGTCCTGATAATATGGTTAAAATCAAGAATAAAGAATGGACAAGAGAGCTAATCCTACTGGACTGCAGTTTCTCCATCTTAAAATGGGTGCAGTATCTACTTTCCTCCCAGGGTTATTGTGAGCATTAATTAAGTGAAACAATACAGGTGAATATAGGTCTATAAACATAGGAATGAACGGACACTGTGGGGAAAGGAAAGGAAGAGGTTTGGGCTTGAGAAAGTGACAAAAGATAGGATGAGAACACAGGTGGGGAGAGATCAAGAAAGGGTTCTAGGAGAGGGGTGGGCAGATACAGGATAAAGAGAAGAGCCAGCAGAGGAAATGGGAGTCTTGGGAGGAAGAAGTGAGATCTGATCGTGTGGTATGTAACATTCTAGAAGAAAAGACGACTGATGTACTCAGTGAAGAATCAAAGTAATGGAACAACCAGGGGGCAGGTGGGGCATTGTCCTGGGTTGTGAGGGGGGTCAGCGGACATTTGAACTTAAAGAGGAGAGATCGGAGAAGTGAGTCAGAGGCCTGTCACTAGACTCCATCATACCAGAACAGTTGAGGGTAAGACGTCTCTAGCATAAACTATTGGGTCTTTCTTCCAACAGCTGTAGGAGTTAGCAGGGAGCAGGACCTCTTGTAATAGAAATGTTAAGTGGACTGCCCAGTTTCTTTCTGAATGCATTCTCTAGCCCTATTAAAAACAGGAAAATGCTGTTGCATTTTGAAATCAAGAGATATGCTTTAATTTAGTTTGCCTAGGAGAATATGGTAGAACCAAAGCCAATCAGTTCAAGACAGTTTACATAGAGGATGAAGGAAAAAGGGCCAGGGCAAGGATGTTGAAAAGAATTACTGCTAACCTTGCATTTCAAAGGAACGCCACGGTCAAATTTAAATGACCGAATTTCCATTTATTTCAATTCTTTGATTGCCACCCAGGATTCTATTTGTAGGCACTCATACTTTCTATTTGCTTAAAAACAAAACCTGATCCCAAGAAGACTGCCATCAAGAAAGTGTTTTTACAACCTCAAGAAGAAGCCACGTTTGCGCTGAAGAACCAGAGGTTCGCATTTTGCTGTCGAGAGAAAGGACTGACTTTGGGTCACGAGCAACTGTGAAAACACAGGCTGAGAGGCTGGAGCCTGGTTCAGAGCCACACAGCAGACTTCTTACCAAGTGCCATTCTTACATTCCCAGGAAAACAAACACGAATGGTATAAAAACACCCAGAGAAGGTGGCTTTGAGTAGTTTGTCCTAGAAAAACAAACACAGCTTGGCCTGGGAGGAAGATGGCAGACAATAAAACACGTTAGCGAGGCCAGTGGTGTGTGGTAAGACTAAATATTTACTTTCAAACAATACTGGATTCAGTGGCTTTGGTGAGGAGCAAAACATACTTTTGGAATAATAATAATAATATAAGGGATCTCACTCAGACTCTTCTGGAACAGAGGATAAAGTTCCAAATGGCCCAATGTAAGGTCCTTGGGGCAGCACCAGGTCACTGGAGGATTGAACCCCTGTTTTTTGATAAGTAAACTAATGACTATTTTTTGAGTAAAAGGGCACCAAAGGACAGACAGCGGTAATTTTTTTTTTGATTTTTTTTTATTCTTATATTATCCCCATACATTACATCATTAGTTTTAGATGAAGTGTTCCATGATTCACTGTTTGTGCACAACACCCAGTGCTCCATGCAGAATGTGCCCTCCCCAATACCCACCACCAGGCTAACCCATCCTCCCACCCCCCTCCCCTCTAGAACCCTCAGTTTGTTTTTCAGAGACAGCGGTAATTCTTAACTAGGGGAATAGCTCCAAACCACTTGGGATGGGGGTTGCAGTCAAACCTCCCATTTGGATTATATCCAGATTGGCTCACTGGGTCTGGGGTTGGTCTTTGATGTGAATGGTACCCAGATGAAGACGATTTATAGAAGAATACCTCTGGGGATTTTTTTTTAAAAAAAGTAAGGCCTAAGCTTTAAAATTCAGATCTTTTGATAGCATTACTGACGGTAGAAGAAGCAAAGAGAATAAAGAAGGATAATGATATCACCCTAATACAGGAGGGTGAGAAAAAATTCAAAGACTCTCAGAAATGTGAGAGAACTCAGGAGAATGAACAATAGTGAGAGAAGTTACGAGTTATTGAGCTTGTAATTAAGGTCAAGTACTGCACGAGGCACTTCATGTGCAGACTTTAAAGAGAAATGATTTCCTTCAGTTGACTCAGGCTTCAGCCAGGAACGACCTGGGCAAAAACCCCAGGTAAATGATTCATTCACGTATTGACTCAGCTTCCTGGTCCAGGGAAGACAACCTTTTGAAGTTGCTTTTCATTTTAACAGCATATTATGGGGTCGTGCAGGCTGCTTTTCCACAGGCTCACACACAAGTGTCTGGGGTCTCAGACTGGGCTGTGCGCTCCCGGCAGGACGCCTTGTCTCAGGAGCATCTCCTCACCTTCCAAAACCTCAGGCTCTGCCCTCCAAACATCAGCCCTCACCAGCTCACAGCTCTGCAGCAGGGCTACTTTGCAGACCAGAAGTCTCTGCCTCTACTCTGACCCCCTAATCTTATAACCACACCACGGTCAGGAAGCTTTGTGAAGAGCAAACCGAACCGCCTCACTGCTCTGCTTAAAACACACCAATGGGGCTCCCCTAACTTCAGTAGGAAGCCCAAACTCTCCACCTAAGAGCTGAGAGCATCTGTGATGTGTGGACATGCCCCTAGCTTTTCTTTGATGCCTCTTCCCCATATCCAAGCCACAGATTCTAATTACACACTGAGCTACTTAAGGGTTTCCAAATGCACTAAGATCTTCACCCTGAGCTTTTGCACAAATACACTTTGCACACTGGTTAGAATGCTGCCTTCCCATGCATCCTCTCCTACACAGCATCCCTCAGATGCCACCTCCTCCGGGAAGTCTTTCCTGATCTCCCCCCACACGTGAGACTGAGTGAGGTGCTCCTCCTTACATATTCCCACAACCTTCTCCCTTTCTCTCTCTCTTAACAGTTACCATGTCATAGCAAAACAGTTTTGTCTCTCTGAGGTACCAGAGAAAGCACACTAGGATGACAGTGATCGTGCTTGCTTTGCTGTTGAACCCATGGTGCCCGAGGCATAGTTGGCACTTAAACAGTTGTTGAATTCAATGCTGGTTGGCAGCACTTCCTGAACACGTAATTGTGTATATTATAATTATAGAACAGTCAGCTATTTCTTTGGAGCCTTAGATTTCTTTCTTTTTTCTCCCCCTCCCGCCCCCCCAGCTGAAGATGAAAAGTTTCGGAAAGAGGAAGAAAAGGGAAACGAACATTTCTGAGCCCTTAACACATTCCAGTACCAACCACACGACAACCCGGAGAGCCGAGGCTTACCGTCCACCGCTGCACAGAGAAGTCAGTGCAGGCTCAGGACTTAAAGACGCTGCCCGGAGCGCAGAGCCAGGAGGCACCAAGAGTGGAGGCTCACACTCACGAGGCTAAAGCCTCCCACGGGACTGCTTCCACGGTCCGCAGGGGCAGGCGGCCTTGACGTCACGGCAGAAGGGAGCAGCGGCTGCCCCCCGCCCGTGGCTAGCACCCAGTATCTGTACTCACGTTTGCGGTCAGCTGCGTGGTCAAAGCTGAAACCTTTTCCTGGGAGGCATCCAGCTCCCGCCGCAGTTTGCGAATCTAAAGGCGGCAAGGGACAGAGTTGCTTAAGGAGCCCATTCCCAGGTTGAGCGGGGCGAAGTAATGGATAATAGCGAAGGAGGAAATCCAACCAGCAAACTGTTCCTTACCTCCGACTGGCACTTTTCTTCTGGCTGTAAGGAAATCATAAGGGAAATTAGACCAGTTGAGGAACAAAGAATGGGGCAATGTAGCCTGTGGGGAACACCAGACTGGGATGCTTACAGCAGTCCTGAAGAGTTACGAGTTTCTTTCCTGGTGTATTTTTCTGGATAAACTGGTTCAGTTAATTTGACCAATCAGAAAGGCCAAATACGAACAGCATATGATTATAAGAAATCAAGAAGAATGAGAACACCACTCTGACTATTTTGGCTGTGAGGAACCCCCTTGCTCCCATGCGGAGATGAAAAGTGGTCAGGTGCTCAGCAGGAGGTGTGACGAGAGGGGCTGAGCCAAGGTCGGGATGTCCAAATATAGCAAATAAAAATACAGGTTTAAGTCCATCCCATGCTACACTGGGGACAACTCATACTAAACAATTATCAGTCATCCATCTGAATTTGTAACGTGACTGGGCATTTTATATGAGGTGTGGTGATCCTAGCAGGAGGACCACTCATGGGCCAAGCGCCCGTTTTACCCCTCCCTCTGTTCTCTCTGAGGCACTGCCCCAGGAGCAGCTGCAGGGCAGGAAGGACTCTCGAGTGAGGGAGGCTGAGAGCCCCCATCAGCCAGCCTGCTGACTCCCCGGGTTGTGAGGATCTTCCCGCTGCCCCACCTCACGGCCCCCAGTTACCTGGGACTCGGGGAGGTATGGGTGCAGCCTGCGGGCCCTCTCACTGGGAGAGTCCTCCTTACTGGGCCCTGTGTATGCGCGGACACAGCTATTTGCCAGCCAGGGACTACAAGGCTACCCCTCTCCTCCCCGAGGGGGAACCCACAGCAGGGGGAACCTTTCTTTTGTTCTCTTTGGGTTCTCATAAAAGAGGACACCCCCACATTCTGGGGCAATGTTGCAAGCGTTCCTACCTTCCGTCTACTCCCCTGCCCTCCATTTGCACTTCCCCGGGGGTGGGGCAGTGACCTGGAAGCCAGGTAGGCAAGTGAAAATCAGTAAAGACTCTTTTGTCCTTGGGTCCTAGATGTGTGTCCTAATCCAATGCTACCAGTGACAAATCCATTACTTTAAAAAATCAGCATCTGACGCTGGGGTCTACTTCTCCATTAGCTCAGAATGCAGAGTGGTAGGATTCATTACACCCCACAGACCCTACACCCATCAGCTGTGGCAGGTGGGGGGCTGGTTCCTGTCTGATCTCCCTTTGCCCCCTGCTCCCCACCCCACTGCCCTGACTCCTGATCCTGCCCAGGAGGGCCCTCCCTCCAGCTGGCTTCTAACAATAGCAACTGGTTTTTAGGAATACTGGGGCCGAATCATTTAATCCTTGCAAGAGCCCTACAGAGTAGGTTTGTATTCCTTCTGAGGCACAGAGAGGTCAGACCTTGCCTAATGTCACACAGCTGGACAATCTCCTCATCTAAGAAACGTCTTCAGGAGAACACTGGGAGATGTCCTCAGGGCTTACTCTTCCCTCTCTGGGAATATTCATCCATCCCTCTTTGTCCATCTGTGTTCATCTATTCGTGCCTACTACCACCACCTATCAAACATTTATGGATATCCTACTATGTGTCATGCACTGTGTTAAGAACCCGGGGTACAGCTGTGAGCATGACCACCAAGTTCCTCACCTCAGGTAGTAAGTGGCATTTATTGAAAGCTTACCACGTGCCAGAGACTGTTCTAAGCCCTTTCTGTTCATTATTCATTTAATCCTCATAACAACCCCGAGTAGGTACGAATACTATTCACTTACATTTTGCAAATGAGGTAACTGAGGCAAAGTGAGGTTGAATAATTTGTCCATGGTCACAGCTGTTACGAGGCAGAGCTGGGACGGGACTCAAGGTAGTCCGGCTCTACAGTCTATCACCTTAACGAGCACATTCTCCTACTCTTTTACTACAGCTACATTCTCATGGTGAGGCCTTCCGGAAATCAGGCCCCTGACTTCTGAGTCTGACCCAAAGGAGAAAGTTAATGGTGAGAACGTCATGGTGATCCAATGTTTGGAAGGCTAGCGGAGGTCTGTCAGCAGGCTGAACCATCCATACAGGATGAGCCCTGCCTCTAAACACTTGTGTCCACGGGCCTAACACCCCTTCCCCATACCTCTGCCACTGTCTGTCATTCTCCCCGCCTGTGTCTAGGGTTGGGCCCCTGGTCAAGACAGCAGCCTGGGAAATCATGTGTTTTGTATCTTACCCGCAGTTGCTGCTCTTCTGTACATCTGGGAACTCTAAGTGAGGCCGGGAGCCTCCCTCCCTTCAGCAGTTCCCCCAGGAACTCAGTGGCCGCCCCCTACCGTCCAGGAAAGCCAGTCCAATGCCAGATGTGGCCCCTAGATTTTTCTCTACTCCAAGGGTTGGCAATAAGCAGGCAGTTGTTTACCAACTACCAACGTGTGGCCTTTTCTTTCCTTTGTAATTAAAATTAAAGGCAATTTTTAGCCAGAATGAGCATTCTTGAATATCCAAGAATTAGGTATCAGGGGAAAAAACCCTATTATTATCCAATAAGGGCCTTTAAGACACTGAGCCATTAAACAGGCTCTTTGCCACAGGTTGGTGGCAGCTTAGGAAACCCCAACAATCTCTTTTTAGACAACAAATAAGAACTTGTTCGCCTTAACATTTACAAAGGTGCATGAGTTTCAGAACGCTATCATTGCCGAGAGATGAATAACAGATAAGGGACCCCACGCCCATGCTGGGAGGTAGCAGTGTAGCCAGATACGGTTTGGAATCAGCAGGTTGCGCTAGCATGGAAACATTCCAATGTTGGACTATTTTTTTCTCATAAAAGCCTACAAAAGTAACCTATATGCTCAGAGAAGGCACAGGTAAAGGAGAACATTCGATGCGGCGAATGTCAGAGGTTGTAGGCACCCCAGAGACCCCCCAGCCCCCGAGAACAAGGACAAAACTGACAGCTACCCGGAATAATGAGGCATTTGTACAAAGTCACACAGCGAGAAAAAACAAAGATGAGGCCCTGGGTCTCTGGCTCTCTAGTTAAACATGGAATTGGAGAATTATTCCTAGGTCTCTGGTAATGTGTGGATTTCTATCAACTCAGAAAGAACCATTTGAAATTTCCTGTCCACACACCCAGGGCGCCTGGGTGGCTCAGTCGGTTGGGCAACTGCCTTCGGCTCAGGTCATGATCCTGGAATCCCTGGATCGAGTCCCGCATCGGGCTCCCTGCTCGGGAGGGAGCCTGCTTCTCCCTCTGACCCTCCCCCCTCTCATGTGCTCTCTGTCTCTCTCATTCTCTCTGTCTCAAATAAATAAATAAAATCTTTTAAAAAAAAAGAAAAAAAAATTTCCTGTCCACACACCCAGAACAGGAGCTACGGAAAGGCGCCTGACTACAAGGCCTTGCAGTGGTCTGCACGAAGGCAGTATGGCCAGGAAACACCAGGGACGGCTTCCGCCATCTGAATTCTCACAGCGGGAGAAGCTCAAGCTCTCTCCCTCTGAGGCTGGCTGATGCACGCCAGCCCCTGTTTTTCACTCTTCTGAGAAGAATCTACCCTCTCTGTGTTGGCAGGAAACTCTGGGAACTCCACTGGGAAAACAAGGGGCTCGGGCACAGCAATGTCTGCCCTAGATGCTCTGCACCAACCCTGTGAAGGTAGAGTCTCAGAACCCTAGGTGTCCTTGAGCGCCTCTGGTTTCCTCCTTCAGAAGCAGGCTCCTTTCTCCACCTACATCTCACCCTTGGGGCTTAGCCCAGAGCCCGGCACAGACTGCGGGCCAGTAAATCCTGTTCAAGAAGTCAACCTGGGTTTGAAAGTACCATCTTGGCATCCATGTCACAGATTTCCCCTCTTGAAGAAAGGACTTAATGTATGGACTAACTGACAGAAAGTCATCTCTCTATGCTTTCTCAGTAGACAAAGGCTTCAATAATCTCTAAGAAATGAAAAAGTGAGGGTTCTGTGATGACATTTCAGACAAGATGACTGGCTGAGGAACGAGGTGTTCTGGATGGGGAGGGGCAAGGTGGGTAGGAGCAGAAGAGATCATTTCAAGGTCCTTCAAGTCAGACCATGTCAGCAATCCCTGAAGTCTGTTTGCTCGTTATAGGCCTGAGAAAGAACAGTCAGGCCCTGGTCTCTTTCACTTGATTCCGGGATGGCCTTTAGCTTCTAAGGGGCCATATAGTTTGTCCTGCTACATATATATATAGCCCAGGAACCTGGCATTACCAAAAAGTGAATTACTAAAGCATCTGTCCTCCATGGAATTAAGGGCTAAAGAATTTCCAATTCTCAATTAAGAAAATGATTTTTTTCCAATAGGAATTCCCAAAGTAAAGTTTTTAAGATAAACAGTTACACATATAGCTATAAAAAGGCAAGCGCCCCTGAATAAATCCAGAACCATATTTGCTATACATGGCTTTTGTTCCATAGACGACTCATTGATGAGAGCCCACACTAATAAGAGCCAACGTCTGCTCTGTGCTGTGTGTACACCATATTCAGTGCTTCACATGCATTTTCTTATTGCATTCAAGCCTATTTTTTGAACATCTACTAGTGCTAGGCTTTGTCGTAGGTGCTTGGAATAAAAACAGAAAAAGTCCTTGTCCTCAAAGACTTTATATTGTAGTGAAATGTCATCTTCCTAACACTGAATCCTCACTACAACTCCACAAGGTAGGGGCTGCTATTCTTTCTACTTGACAGGTAAAGAAACTGAGGCAGACAGAAGTTGTTCAAGGCCTTTCTTTTCTAAGGCTACCAGCAGGTGGCCAAGGCTTCTTACACATTCTAACTAGTTACCACCCAAAGCACAATGCCACTTTAACAAAGGAGTCAGTTCCTGATTTACTGGTTGATACATTATAATCAAAAGCTCTTTGTGAAATTTCAAATCTTGTTCCCTAATTAATCGAGCCCCTTACAATGGACATACTTTCTCTAGGAGAAGCAATTTTATTTTACATTTTATTCTTGACACACTTGATAAAGGAGCCCCAGTTCTCATGGTCATAGCCACAGAGCATTGATTTATACTCACTGTAGAATAAATCGATGACGTGCTGGAAACCAAGGAGAGCGAGGATCCGTGAACTATTAAAAAAAAAAAAAAGGTGAATTGCACAGCTGGCTACTATGGAGACAAAAAGGGAGAGAGGAGGAGAAACTCAGCACTATGGGATACTACCAGGTAACTTAATCTCACCTTGACCCACCTTTTCCTGATTTGGCGATAGGTCAGAGTCAAATAAGGAATAATTTGCTAAGGGAGTCTCTTTTCCTTTACCTCTTTTTTTCCCCTACAACCTCTACGTACTTTTTTCCCCTATGAAAATAATACATGATTACTAAATAAAAATTTTCAAGGACAGGAAAGTGTTAGGAAAACATATTCACTGCCACAGCCCACATGACTCATAATTCTATTACCCACAGGCAGCCTGTGACATGTTCCACCCCAGCACATTTTACTCCTTTCTTTTATTCTCCTGTATTCCTCTAGAGTTGCGACTGCGTTGCATATATGTTTTATGCCCCGCTAGCATCTGTCACGTGTGTTGCAAAGATGAGCCCATTATTGTGAACAAGGAGGCTGGCTGTTGGCCACAGTCAACTTATTCTAGATGAACATGTCATGGAACACTTGTTTAGAAAACATTATCTACTGAAATAGAGATTCTTATTTTGATTTCTACCATGTGTACAAAATGACAAGTGGTGTCCTCTTTTCTGTTTCTGACTGGTTCTTTTAACTTAGAACCATCTTCATACCCTCTTTGCACCCCTTCCTGCCCCCAGCCAGTGGAGATATTTTATTATTTTTCTGTAATTTTAAATCGTGGTCTTTTCTAGGACTAAGTATTCTGACTTGTCTTTCTGGAAACCAAATTCTTTAATGACATTTTCCTAGTTATCTCTTGACAACTTTTTGAAAGACAAAAATGTGCCTGTGGAGACATCAGAGGCGCTTAATTGGGCACAGCTTTCCTGACCACAAGTTGAACACTCTACCCCCCACACTAGCTATCCCCTGTGGTCTGAGAGTGGGAGGCTTGGGAATAACTTTCCACGTGCACCAAACGGCTTACACTTACCACCCAAGAAGTGAACTCAACTTGAATGAGCTTTGGGCAGAAGCTACCTGCCCACGAGCTATCTGACGAACAGCTCAGCCCACCACCCAGGTGCCTCCACACTGTCTTCCCATAAACCTCCTGACCTGCTCTTCCTTTATGTGCTCCTATCCCATTCTGAATCCTGCACTCCTCTCTCAAGCATGCCCTGCCTAGCACTTGGCCTCCTCAGAGTCTCTCCCTGTACTGTTCCCTTTGTTTAGGACGCTTCTCGTTTCTGCCTGTCCAAATCACCGGGATCAGCTTAAACAACGCCTCTCCATGGAGCCTTTCCTCGGTTCCCTTCCTACCTGCACTGGATGCACTTCCTCCCTCTCTGAACCCACCCAGTTCTTGACTTGCCTGTCTGGCCCTCTTCTCTCCTGGAAGGTGCCTGCTCTTCTGAGGCTATCGCTACACCATCACTCACAACCATCTTCCTTAGCAATGCCAGGGTTCTAGATCTTTTCCTCCATTCTTCTGCCATCCATGACCTCTCTGGCCCACGCCCCGTAAGAAATCAGTTTATGGCATTAATGGCCAATAATGGCTTTCCATGTTAATACGCAGACACATTAGCAGACGCCTCTCATGCCCCAACCGAGTGGCCTAATGTTCTAAAGGGGTAAGTTACTTTAGCCCCATGACACGGCCAGTAGGGGCAGATTATACTGGAAGCCAACTGGGGGAAGAGATGTGGCTAACATGCAGCTACCCTCCAGCTACACCTTTCCATCACATCACCTGCTCAGCCGGCAGAGGGCTGCCACATGGAACTAGGCTGCTGGAAAGTGGAAGTTTGTCTCTTCTACCTCTCCAGCTCATACGCACAAACTTACGGACACTGCCCTCAGCAATATCCCGGTGCAAACCCGGGGACGCAGGCGAAGAGCGCATCTGGCAGGCTTCGGTGGAGGTAGTTCTTTTTCTCTGTAATTAACCCCTCTCACTCGGTGAATAGCAACAGCAAGGCTGTGGTCCAAAGAAAGATTCCTTGATTTCCAGTGTCAACTCCAAACTGAATGTGGCTTGCCTGAACCATTGCAGTGGGCCTTGCTCCAAGTGAGCTGAACCAAATCAGAACGTGGGTTTTGTGGCTTGCATACTTCTGGACAGCAAAAGGCACACAAGCCTTACAAAGCCAGAACGGCAAAGCACACCATGCGTTTTCCGCCCTATACGTATACCTCTAAAATTGTGAAGCTATGAGGAATCACAGAGACTTGTCTAGGCCATCTCTGCACCTGAGGCATCTGAAATCCAGAGAGGTTAAATGGTCTGCTTAAGGTCACACGACGTTCAGGAACAGGATCTGCTGACCAGAAGTATGGAGACTGTTTTGCCCTTGAGAGACCTGATTTAAGGGTTTCTGGGTTGTTTTTGTTGTTGTTGTTTTTGTTGTTTTGTTGAAGCCTTTTGGTATGTTTTAAAATGGTTTACCCAGCCCCTCGTCCAATCTACACAGACACAAAGCTGGAACCAAATGAGCAAAAAATTGCATGTTTGAGAAAAACATGTTTTCACCCCTAAGGTACAGGTGATTAGACATACATGCTCTAGACAGAATGAAACAACTGGGCATCTTCCAGCCAATAAAGCAACCAAAGGCCTCTGATGGCACACGTGGCATCTCACATATACCTTCAGCTTCATACTCATCAACGCACTTTCTCATGTATGCTATTGTTGGAAGTGATCCTCATCACTTCAGAAAATTTATAGGTAATATTCCCAGACAGGGCAGGGGTTTGTACCACTAATACACAAGAGAGTAAATTAAGACCAGAGAGGCTAAGTGAAGCGGCCAGGCACACACAGCTGGTTAGGAGCAGAGAATGTGCATCTGGGCACGTATCCTAGTTCTTCTCCACTGCCGGTACTATCAGAGGTACTAGAAGTAAAGGACCTCCCTCTGAACCAGCAAAGGAAGCAGAACTGAAAACAGAGAACACACTGAGGAAGGATCTGAGTCCGCCTCACACAGGTAAGAAAGCCCAACAAGGCAGAACCAAATGTCAAGGTAGGACTGAATAGGAAAACAGAGGGCTGACAGTCAAGAGTTTAGGACTGAGTCCTGGCTGCACGAAGTCCCCAAGGCACTTCTTTGGTCTCAGTTTTGCCATAAACAAAACAGGGATGTAACGGCCCTTGGGGAGAAGGAGAAAACAAAACATGACAATTTTAAGAATGGCTACCATTGACTGACTACTTACCATAACCTCTTTCAAAGTCATTTTGCATTAGATGCTTTCCGGGGATTTATCTCACCTAATCTTCACTTCAATCCTCTGAAGCAGGCACAATTATTTTCTACCTTTTAGTGAACAGGAAATAGGCTGAGCAGGGTCAGGTCCCTTTCCCCAAGTCTCTTTGCTAGCAGTAGACATGCCAGGATTTCAATCACAAGTATAACTCAGGGCCTAGAAACCCAAGTGAGTTGCAGATTTATTTATTAATAAGCTGCTCTGTTCCTATGGATTCCATATGAACTGCTTAAGATTGCACTAGCAATTAGGGATGATTGGTAAAGTCCCTGGGCAAAGACATCCATTTTCAAAATGCCTCAAGCATCTCCCTAAATGTATGCTATTAAAGTTGACTCTAAGATTGCATAATGTATCTGATGGAAATTAATTTACCTGAAATAACTTTGAAAGGTTGCATCTGGGCCATGCCTGTACCTAATCTACATATTTATGACTCCCACTTCCTTCAAAATGGAAAGTGCTAATTAAATCCCACAAAAATCTCACCCGAGTACTTGTGCTAATTCTTCTTAAATTTCTATCCTGCTTTCTGGCGTACAACATACCTAACTGACTCTTATAAGGAGGTTCTGTTTTGTCCAAACATGAGATGTGAAATTTTCCCCGTTTCAATAACCCTGGGAGTTAGAAATTCAAAAGGGGGGGGCGGGGAAGCCTTCACCCAATGGAATTAAAAACACCTAATTGCACGAGCTCTATTTTGTTTTTGTGATGTAATAGCCCTGGAAGGAATAAAAGCAATTTGATGCAACATTCCCAAAAGATGAAAATGTTATGTGTTCACAGTATATCGACAGCAGTCCCTACCCTCGACCCCCCAAATTTGATTTTTACCTCTGCCCTTTAGTTCCACGTCACCATGAATCATTAGGGTTTACAGAAGTCTAGACACTGCTTGTGGGCAAGCACTTTTAATCAACATCACTTTGACATCCCAGATATTCCACAGTGGTGCTGCCTGACAGCTTGGTTCCAGATGGAATAAATAAAAGCTCTCTGATGATGATACTGTAATGGTCCCGGATCTTTATGAGGCGAAGTGTGCTTGTTTGGACAAGTTTCAGTCCTGAACACGGTTCACTCAGGTACACACATGACAGAGAAGATGAATATGGCCCAGGACACACTCCATATGGGAGTCGTCACCAGGCGGGCTGGGGAATGCTCTGTGGCCATGCTTGGCTAGCTCACGGACTAGAAAAAAGTTCAAGACCAACTGCCTACACCTTCACCTTCGGGTCAATGTATCCACCACTATGACCGCCCAGGGTGGTTACAGCACGCATTTCTAGCTCTTAAATCCAGAAGAACACTCTTGGTAACTCTGGCTCCATCCCTCCTTAATCCTGTGTCCCAGCAGGTTCCATATGTGGATTTGCAGACTTGCTCACTGTAGCTCACTGGGTGAAAGTGACACATAAATCAGGGTGAAGGGAGTGACGTCGCTAGGAAGATGGACCAGGGGGCAAGTGCCCTGTAACTAACCCCTTTACCCTTTTTATAAGCAAGTACACTGGGCAAAAGCAGAAGCCTTTATTCTGTTTCTTTCCCTCTCAGCTTGTGTAGGGATTTCTTAAACAAGACAAGTTTGGGGGCACCTGGGTGGCTCAGTCAGTTAAGCGTCTGCCTTCAGCTCAGGTCATGATCCTCGAGTCCCGGATTTGAGCCCCGCATCGGGCTCCTTGCTCAGCAAGGAGCCTGCTACTCCCTTGGCCTGCCACTCCCCCTGCTTGTGCTCACTTTCTCTCTTGCTCTCGCTCTCTCTCAAATAAATAACTAAAATCTTCAAAAAAAATAAAATAAAACAAGACAAATTTGTTCTCTCCTTCCAGGAGGCAGCTGGGCTTCTATTTCCCCACTCTCACAGGTGCTGGGAGCAGAGGGAAGCACCCAGTACTCCCTCCCACATTCTCCCCCATTCTCGTCTGTCACTGGCAATAAGGCACAACTAGGGCTATGCCCATAGCCCGGGCTCCAATTGCTCTGAGAGTCCCCATCCCCTGGCTGGGGAGTCCCAGCTGCCAGGACATCACTGTTGATGCTGAGTCTACAGGCTAGGACATGTAATGACATTACCTGGTGAACGAACATTTATATCTGTGCCTGAATTCTCGTAATTCCAGGAGCTGGGTACTATTACCATTCTCATTTTGTCGGTAAAAAAAAAAACCAGAGATGGGGCGCCTGGGTGGCTCAGTCGTTATGCGTCTGCCTTCGGCTCAGGTCATGATCCCAGGGTCCTGGGATCGAGCCCCGCATCGGGCTCCTTGCTCCGCGGGAAGCCTGCTTCTCCCTCTCCCACGCCCCTTGCTTGTGTTCCCTCTCTCACTGTGTCTCTCTCTGCCAAAAAATGAATAAAATCTTTAAAAAAAAAAGAAAAAAAAAACAGAGGCACAGGGAGGTGAAGTAACTCGTCTAAGATCATATATCGAAGAAGGGGGGAACTGGAATTCAAACCCTGGTAGTGTTACTCCATATGCTTAACCACTAGTCAATGAGTACTGACTCCAACGTCCTAGCGTTCCCAACTTCGGGAAGCAGTTTCGGGGGTGGGGCTGTCCCTCCACAGCGTTTTGACCGCTTGCTTCCCTAGCTCCCACCCTGAGTGAAGGAACAAAGGGAAAGAGAGATGAACCAAATTAGGAAGAGGGCTGGCAACGATGCCCACAGCTACTTTCTCCCAATATTCTGATTAAAATGAGCAAAACAGAAAAATCCAACCCCAAATATTCACAATTAGTGAGCAAAGAAGGAAAAGGGCATACCTGAAGGAAAAGGATGTAACTGAATAAACTTAAAAAACCTGGTGCTTGAGAAATAGAAAATTCTGGAGTGGAGAGGCCGGCTGCCCACAGGCCCCCAGAGCTACACGGGTAGGTTAGCACAGGGAAATGAACTAACTTTCCAGAAACTCAGTCTGCCAAGATGGTGAGCCAGCAGCTGAACCTCAAGATGGAGGCACATGCCAAGAAGCTGTGGCCCAAGTCCAAGAGGGAGAAGCCTAGAGTGGAACTCGGTCAGCTCCAAGTTCACTCATGTTTCTTCAGCAGCCTCTTCCCCCTACAAGGTGAATGAAGAGCCAGACCCTGCTATTCAGAGTTCCCCAGCCCCAACCCCCAGAGTGAGTGAGAGAGGTAGAAACACTTACAGGTGGGCTCTTGGGTCGTGAACTCGGTAGGGAGGGCCATTAAGACACTGCGTAACTTGAGACGGCAACCCTCCTTGCTTACCTTCTTCAAATCCATCCCGGAAGGAGCCCGAGCGGCTCATGGTTCTGCTCTTCTCATCCAGGGACATGGAGCTATTCCGGAATCGGCTGTCGGTGTATGGGTCATACTGCCCATCGGCATTGGAGAGGCTGTGGGTCCTCAGCATGGTTGGGTTGGACAAGCTCATCTGGGTAACAGTGGTGGGACTCGCTGGAAAAAAAGAAAGGGAACTGAAAGGCTGGAAATTCATGTCTCTGTTCAAATCCTGGACGGGGATGACAATGGGACTGATTAGTATCGGCCATATCTGTCCCTGCCAACTTCTCTCCCTTGTCCGTTTTCTAGAAGGTTGTCACATCAGCGTTTGAATAACACACTGAGAGCTAAAAATAAGGGAGGCAAGGTGGGCCATTTCCAAAGCAAGGCTCTAGGCCTCAGCTTTCCAACTTGGCACGTTCTGACAAGCTAGTGTCACCTTCCAGGCATGAGCTAATTACTCCCTGGACTCATCTGGAACAACTCCCTTTAAAGCCAAAGCCCAAAATAGTCCAACTGGGCTTTTGATCAGATGGGAAGCATTTGTGCATGACAAGAAACTCTTGCCTCAAAGAGTTACGGCTGGGAAAGAACAATATGAACACAGGTCTCACTGCCTCCAGGGGGGCATGCTTGTAATGGCACCTAAAGAGCTTCAGGGCAAAGGGGCACAACCACCTTGGCCCAAACAGGCTTTTTTATTAAAACCCTATCCATTTCGGGGTGCCTGGGTGGCTCAGTCGTTAAGTGTCTGCCTTCGGCTCAGGTCATGATCCCGGGGTTCCTGGGATGGAGCCCTGCATCGGGCTCCCTGCTCGGCGGGAAGCCTGCTTCTCCCTCTCCCACTCCCCCTGCTTGTGTTCCCTCTTTGGCTCTCTCTCTGTCAAATAAATAAATAAAATCTTAAAAACAAAACAAACAAAACCCCTGTCCACTCCAATAATATAAAGTATTTCCAAAGTATCTACTCAATTAAAAGGGAAAAGTTAAGCCTTACTTGATTACAAGCCACACACCTGTCCTTAAAGATATTGTGAATGATAAACATATCATTCACAATATTCAGAAAAGGCCGCCTTTCTAAAGAGCAAGACGAGAGTGGACAAGATTTTTTTTCCCCCTCTATCAGTCTTTGAAAGCTCAGCTCCCATCCTTCCTGGTAATTCTAGCCAGAATGGATCTTCCCTTTTTCTAACTATATATTATACTTGCTACCTGATCATAGTCAGTTTTTACATGGTTTCATATAAAGCTTTGGATTGTTCTCTTCTACCCTGTTTATGAGTCTGTGTGGGTGTGTTTGTCTCTCTGAAAAAGAATCCATTAACATGTCAGCAGGGGCTGTCTTACAAATTCTTTTCCTTTCCCCACTGTGCCAGTCAAAGCATTATGTCAGTAGTAGGCATTTCCAAGAATACTTGTTCACTCAAAATCGTATCTTTATTTTCCAGCTTAGTAGAGCAATGCAGAGGACCAAACTCGGGATATGCTGCCACTTCTTCAGATATAAACCTATGTCTTCAGAGGTCTTAGAAACAATACATTCTTCTCAAAAATGGAATGGTTTGCTCTTTGCTATGAGCCTACCTACATCAACCACATAAATAAATTACTGATTAGAATAACAAAACCTTTTCTCTTTTCTCATTCTTTTGCTCTCAACTGCGTATAATCAAACTACATTGCTGAGGGCTGATCAATATGGAGAGTGATGTGACCGCATGGCAATGACCACACGCCTCCTTCAAAATACAAGATTAATCTCCGCCCCACGGAGCTGATCCCCACAGCTAATTATCAGTGGCTACTCACCAAGCTGGGAAAAGTTGAATCTTGTTCCGGAGGGAGACGTTACACTGGAGCCAGAGGAAAAAGGGGAATTGGCAGCGGGGTCCTGCAGGCCTCCTGCAGAGTGGGACCGTAACCATTCTTTTGCGTCTTCTTGGGTGCGAAGCTGGGAGGTGGGAGTATACCTGGATAGACAGAAATTACGCTGGGATTAACTATGAACGACGCTTATGAAAATGAACTCCGGGGAGCTGATGATAAATAGACAAAAAAGAAAATACAGATCCAAAGATTATTATTAAAAAAAAAAAAATCACATCACTACACATCCTGAAACTTATGAAGTTTCTCCAAACCCTTTTTTGCTACTTGGCTGCCTTTGGGGAAAACTGCAATTCTTTTCAGTGTGAAGGGAATACATAAAGGGAGCAAGATCGGTAAATGCTCAAAGGAGCCGTCCCTGGGCGTATCTGTAACATGTTGATTCATGATAGTGTCATTTCAAAGCCCCCACCTTGACAGGACTGAAGCAACAAAAGGAGCTGCCGTCAGAGCTTCGAGGAAGTTTTAATTAGATAGCTCGTGGCATCTGCATTCTCGAGCGCACGTTAAGCGGGCGCAAGTCCCAGTGTATCCGAAACCAGCATGACGGAAGGCGTGAGGACACCGATGCTTAGGTTTGCTGCAGTGTGGCATCAGCACGTCTCCGTAACAGGAACCCCAAATCACTGGGTGCCACAGAAGTCATGGGGTCCACCTCCTCATTTATTAGGTCACGTTATCTGGTAATGGTGTATTCAATGTCTCCAATGTGCTGGGTGCCTTCAGAAACATCTCGTCAACACCTCCCACCCACCCAGCAATGCAGATGCTATTATTCCCGTTTCACATTCAAAGAAGTTGGGGGGGGGGGAGTTGCCTCAAATCACGAGCTGAGATTTCAATCCATTTTATGTCTGATTCCAAAATCCATGCTATTCTCATCATGCCCGCAGGCAGCATCTCAAATTTCTGAAGCGCCCAGCGGCCAGAGTACCTTTGGACTTAGACACAGATTACCGTGGGGCGACTACTGATTATGGAACCAGAGGGATTCTTTTGACTCAAGAAAAAGAGTCGCTGGTGTCTTGGCATTGCACATGAATGTGTAGGGAGGGAGGGAGCTAGAAGGGAGAGACAGAGTGAGAGGGCGCAAAAAAAGGTTTCTCCCTTAATGTTTCTGCTATAGGTGATGGACATACAATTTTCTAGGTCACATCAATTGCACAAAGAGAGCCTAGCACATATCTCTATTCTGAAATTTTAAAAAACAATTTTAAAAAGCCAGAGCTACATCATTTTGATAGACTAGAACTACTGAAAAAAATATGTATCTATAACTTCAAAATGTTCCCATTTAGAGGGGCTAGCTTCCTAAATAGTTACTATTTAGAGGCAACAGCGGGGCATTAATGTCAAACTCATCTTGAGAGTGGCCATGATCTAAGTATTAGCTTGGGTGCTGACAAGAAGCCCTCACAGGCACGAAGAAAACTTAAGCACAAAAGGCCCTGCCACCTCCCCTCCTCCATGGCCTCAGTGCTGAACTTCCTCCCGCAGGACGTCTGATGGAGGATTTTCAATACTTTTATTCTTAGATTCTCAGAATTGGCTTTCCTCGAGTTCCTACTGAAAGGCAGCATTGATACCTACCTCCCATTACTGCTCAAAATGCTCTCAGCCTTAAGAGCTGCAGGTTATTAGCTACAGACATACATGACAGCAATGAAACATTTCATTCCAAGTCCTTTTTTTTTTTTTGGTGAAAGCACTTAATGCTTAGTGCAGGGTGAAGCAAATGCTACGAAGAACGAGGTGTTTAAAGAGCAGGAGAAATGACAGCCGCAACCATCATCCAGTAGGACCATGGGGCAGGCATTAGAACTGGAGTCCCTCCGGTTGGCAAAGTGAAGGAGATGGCGCGAGCAACGGGGACTTACGGCATCTTGCTTAACCAGGACTTGCACCAAAAATGAGCCACGACTTACGATGAATGGAAGGACATTCCCTCCTGGTAGGCTTTTCTTTACACCAAAGCCAATCACACCCATGTCTTGTCAAGGACCGAAAATTGACACGTTTTTCAATGAGAATATTTAGGAAGGGCCAAGCATCTGCCTTTAGTAATTTTCTGTGGCCCGAAAAGTTAAATATTTTCCAATGTGGGGGGAGGTATTTCTCTCCTTTGTTCATGTCCTGGCTAACCAATGTGCTCTAAGTCACGTCCTTTCTTTTGGGAAGACGGCCGTGAGCAGAATGGTCAGGGTGAAGAGCTCGTCGACTGAACCCGCTGGTCCCACGAGTAGCAGTCACTGCTCTCTGGGCTTGCCCAGGGATGTTCTTCATGAGATGGTTTGCGCCACAGTAAGCCTGAAAAAGCACAGCCCCTGCCCAAGCAAAAAAGCCAACAGATGGAGCGATGAGAATGAGAGGGGGCCGGGGGAAGCCCCCGTTTCAGAGGGTCCTGCTGCGGTGGCCAAAGCGGGGACCCCAGCCCAGCCCAGCCCGAACCCCCACCAGCCATGAGAGTCACGCAGCCAAGCCCCAAAGCCACACCAGATGGCACGGATGGAAGGAGGAAACGCAGATACCTGAGTCCTTTTTTAGGCAAAGTGTTCCTATCAAGGTGCGGGTCACTGTAGGAAAGTTAAAACAAAAATGAGAACTTCAGAGAAGCACAGGGAAAGCAGGCAAGGGAAGGAGGGAAAGGCTAAGGAGGGGCCGGAGATCTGCAGCAAGAGACTCACGGCACCAGGGAGGGCTCCCTTATATCCAGCTGCGCATGCAACACATCCACATCCACGGAAAACAAGAGAAACCTGATCCTGGGCCTGGCTGACACCACCGCATACCTTACTCCGAGGCACCAGGAGGCCTGAGCTGTCCACTGGGCCCCAACTCTTCCTCCTTTGCCATAGGTGCCAAGCAAAACTCAGGGGTTGCCCCAGGTCAAAGCAGCGCCCACACCTTCTGCTGCCCAGTCACCCAGCCTTGTACCAGCACCACTGCTTCTCAGAGAGAGAGATGCCAGGTTCCCTGCACCCCTACCTCTGGCCCACCCCCAAATGCCATTGACGAGGACTTCCCGTGAGAGAAGGGACTTGCTGGAGGGTGTCAAGAGGCCAGCAGTTCTGCATATTTGGAATTCATCTGTAACAACATGAATTCCAGGTCCCTCTTACTTTGCTGTAGCTCGGAGCTGAGCCCTGGGCCCGAATCGGGGCATGTTACGACTTGCTGGCTGATAAAGTCAAGGCATTTGGATTTCCAAAGAATAAGGGTTTAAAGGCTTGGTCTGTGAATCTGACAAAAACAAAGTTTTTGCTGTTGACGGGGTGAAGAGGATTTTCATTAATTTTTTTTTCTAGCATGAAACAACATCTGGTTATTATGTTTGGCCAAGCTGTGGCTCCCCCACAAACCGGAGGTCAGTGTCCATCTCTGAGGCCCACCCACAGGGCAGCTAGGGGCAAGCAAGCCTCTTAGTCTGTAGAGCCTCAACCCTCCACATCCTTTTTCATTATCATTACAGGAAACGGGCACACAGAACACAACAGCCTGCAAGACGCAACAGCCAAACTGCAGGAAAGGACTTTGGAAGGGAAGAGAGCCAGCTGCGTGGGGAGTAGGGGTGGGGGAGACAAAGGTGAGGGCTGTGCCGCACAGTGGGTGGTAGATCATTTCTGGGCTGGGAGGGAGAGGGGAGAGAGAACGGAGAAAGGATGGGAAGCCGGGGAGCTGGGAAGCGGGAACATGCCACAGGAAGGCAGAGATGCAAGTGAGGGCGTCTGCCGCCCCAGGTCAAGCAGCTGAGCTTCCTTCCCAAGCTGGGGAGGGACGGGCCGGCCTGACTCTACCGCTTCCAGGGCTGGCGTGGACAGTGGGGCAGACCCTCATTGGCATGTCTGGGGTCACAGGGTACATCAGAGCCACGAACACAAGCGGAAGCCTCAGGCCAACAGCCTCACACAAGACGTCTAGCTTGACACAGATGGGCAGAGGAACCCGGAGGCTCGGTGGGGTCCCCAGCCTACAATGTCATTACCTGTCCTGTTTCCTGGGCAGAGTACTTCTGCAGAACTTAGGGCTAGCAGCAGGGGAAGAGAGAGGGCTAGAAGTCCAGGCAGGTAGAAAATAAGAGAAGGAACATTAGATGGGAAGAAAGGAGAGGGGTCGTTACACACACAGTGATTAGAACATTTTTCTCAGTCCCAGTGCAGATCCCAGCGTTCTCGCCTACGTGGAGAAACACGACACACAGCACGCTGCAGTGAAATCCGGGGCTCTGAGGCTGCTTTGAGTTTCCTGATCACTCTGGCTGGCAGCCCTTCGGTAGGAGGGTGTCTGCCATGATGCCCACCAAGTCCACCCTGCTGCCTACAATGCTTCCTGCCCCCCACTCTGCCTGCACAAGGACAAGGGGAGGGGAAACAAGCAGCTGATGAGCGCACAGGATAAAATGGAAGGACCTCCAAGGAGGAATGCCATTTCAAAAGGGAGCATTAAACCTGCCCCCCAGAGACTGCCGGCAGCTCTAAGCACTGAGAATAACCACGATGGAAAAGGTAACAGGAAGGAGAGCCGAGCTGAATTCCATCCCGACCTGGCTTCCCCACGGAAAGACAGCAGTGGTTGGAAAGAGCGCCATCTCCCAGGCAAAGGTGAACGGACATCTGGGATCCCTAACATAAACCCTCTGACTTGCGGAAGGGTGTCCTCGGAGAGATGCGAGTGCACGGCACCAACCTTTCCGACAGCGTGGTCTTCACGCTGTTGGTTCGGACGAAGGGTGTCAGGGAGTCGTCTTTAGAGGAGGTGATGAGGCCCGTGGAGGAATTGTGACTCAGCCCCCCTCCACTGCTGAGGGAGATGTCAATGGACTCGCAGCTGGTGTGGAGGCTGCTGACGGACTGGAAGCCCAGGCCGTCCTTGCTGACCGCGGACGAGCTGCTGGGGTTGGTGCCCCAGGTGAGGCTGTTGGAAGGGCCCGAGTGGGCTGAGCTGGGGCTGGAGGCTAGAGGAGACTGGTTGATATCCAGATTCTTACTGTAGAGAGGACTGCTGCTCCCACTGCTCAGGACGCCGCTGCCTGAGGGGGACTCTAAGTTACCTTGCTGGGTCGAGGTGGCATGAGGATTGGAGATCACCACTGAGTTTTTCATGGTTTCTGCTGTGGCAATGGGCACTTGCTTGGTAGGCTTCCCACCAAAGAGTCTGTGAAGAGACAAAGGGTTGTGCAGGTTGAACAGCCAGCGACGAGGGGCGCCGAGCCGTTAAAGTATGAAATGGCTAATGGTGCTCCACTGGGAAAAGCCACCATGCAGGGGGCCTGGACACCAGTGTATCACAAGGCTCTAGCTTCAAGTTCTAGGCTGTAGCCGAAACCCCAAGGGCAACACGAAATAATGTTCTATAGGCCTAGCCATGATGGTCCCAGATCTTGCTTCCCTTTATTTCCAAAAATCGGGTAACTAGAAAACTGTCCCGGCCCGGGAAACATCTAGAGGAAAAAGAGCTGTCTTAGCCGTCTTTGTATCCGAGACCCTGGACACAAAGCAGTACTCAGTTTATGACAGTTCAATTCCAAAGGTTTTGGTTGCTTTGGTCTCTAAGGATGACATGAACAATCAAGAACACGAGTCTAGACCTGGATGGGGCCTGGGAGAAGTATCTTCACGGATTTCTCCTCAAGTGAACGCCCATATGAAAGATAGGAGGCTAGTCCTACCCAAGGATCTACAGAGAAATCTTGCTGGAGTCATGAGATGTAAGATCAGACACACTGGGTCTTGGAGACAGAAATGTCATTCCATGTCATCCCCCCTGCTGATGACCAAAAATGTGCCATCTGAAACACTGGGAATGGCACATGTGTGTCTCTCTTCCTTTGGCAACAGGACTCTCTATGAAGAATGGCAGAACTGTCTTAAAGTCCAAGGACCGGTACATGCTCTAGGAATGCAAGTAATTCCAGCCACCAAACCCTCGTGGAATGTGCATCTCTGCAGTGACAAAACTACTACATATCTTGAGAGGCAGGTTGCCTTGCACCCAGCTACTCCACGGCATGAGTCTGATTTTTGTTCTCTCCTGGGAGTCCTTAAAAATCCCAATTATTGTAAGAACAAACATACATACACATAATCAATCCTCACTACAGTATCTGGTGACAGATTAGAAAACAATCTTTTTTGCCTGATGACAACCAGAGAATGATCTAGATATCTTCTGGTAGGATCTTGGCTTTGGCGTGCTTACATACTTCCAGTTAACAGGAACCTCACTACTTCTAAGGGTAACTCATTCCATTGTCAAGCGCTTCTAATCACTAGAAAACCAAAATCTGATCTATCTTCTTTACTTTTTCTCATTGCCCCTAATTCTCCTCCAGGTAACTACACAGAAAAAGCCCAATCTTTTGTCTGCTAGTCCTTCAAATCATTTGAGGAGAGCTATCACTTGATCTAAGATTTCTCTTCTCTGTACTAATGCACAAAGAGGAAATTGAGAACACCTCTTAATGATTTAGGAAAAATGTAATTAACAGGAATTGGCTGAAAGTTGTTCAATGTCAAGACTAAGAATCTGCATGCATTTTCATGTATTCTATCACGGTAGCCTAAGGGTCCAGTAAAATACCTTTGTAGTTACTAAAGGAAATCTATAATACCAACGAGTGAATATTACATATAATACTTGAGGCAAAAAGCAGAGAAAATTTTCATTTACAAGGCAACCTGTTAAAACAACAAAGAGCAGCCCAACAGGACCTTCCCCTGAAAAAATAATCATTACTGAAATTCTAATAATCAAGTCTAGACAAAGAACAGGGAACTGCTTCATTACACATTTCACATGACATGCTTCTTCTGAAGTCTTTTCAAACATTCCTATTCACCCCCAAATATGTACATGGGGGCACATAATCTTTATTTTTCACTACTTAATTTTCTATCCAGTACTTATACTCTTTCCTAGTTGATAAGCCATTTCCTGGGAAGGTAAGATAAGCTCTGTCCTACACAGTTGCAGTTTGAGGATGGTCCAGCAGATATGATAATGAGATAATATGAGCAAGCAAAAGCTTATACATTTAGAAAGGAACTGTTTAAAAAATAACACTGTTTTCACATAAAAATTTCCATTCAGTGTGGAAATGCGGGAAAATGCCTTTTTAAGGGAGTAAGAAATCAACTTCTCTTTTTCAGAAACACTCCTGCTTTAAAAGCTTTTTTTTTAAGAAAGCTAAAATTTCAGAAACAAATTTGGAATTAAGCATGCAGTATAAAAAAGTATGTGGCAGGGGGGATACTAGGCTGGTTGAGAGAAGAAGGATCTGGCTGAGCTCACGGTCTGGCATAATGATGAAGAATCTCAGCCACAGAATTAATAAGACAAGAGGAGGGGAGGAAGATCTTCTGCCTTCCCCTCATATACCCACCTGGGGTCTAGGGGGATTATTAAGATCTCATCTTGGAGGGTGGCCAGCTTTGACTGAGCACCTACTATGGGCCAGATATGGCTATGTAGGTTAATCTTCACGTGAAATCTCAGGTAGGTGTTCCCATTTTACAGATGAGGAAGCCGAAACAGAATTGTTAAGAAAGGATACATGGTGGCTAATTAAGGTGGACTCAGGATTCGAACCCAGGATGACCGATTCAGACACTTAGGTTTTTCCTCCCTGTGTGGGGAAATAATCAGCAGACTACAAAATCGCTGGCAGGCTCTGACTAAACAGAAGTGGAGAAACACAGAGGCTGTTTTCACCGAGGAACAAAAAAAAATGATTCACTCGGGACGCCATTCCACGTACTCCAGCTCTGCTCAGCACCATCGACCCGCTTACCTGCGGAGCGTGGGAGAGGCCACGTCGGGGTACTTGGCGCCTGGCTGGAGCGTCGCCTGAGCCGCACCAGACACAGGCTGGGCTGCCGGGTTCACCTTCACCGAGTTACAGGAAGCCACACTCTCGTTGTCAGACGAGATGCCTTTCTCCTTATCCGTCTGGTTGACCAGACCGGGCAGAGAGCTGCCCAGGGCCGTTTTGGAAGGCTCCCTCAGCTTGGGCACCGGCAGGCCCGCGGACTTACTGCTGATGTTGGAATCGATGCTGCTGGTGCTAGACCTGTTCCCGGCCCCGTTGCGGCTGGTGGACTTACTGGGCCTTGGCAAACTCCGGTACTGCAAGTTGGTCCGGGAGCTGAGAGCCAGGTACCCATCGTCCTGGTTCTGGGCCCCATCCATGCTCGTCTTCCGGCCAGCGGACCGACCGACGAGTGCGGATGACTTGGGGATCTTGCCCAGTGTGGCTGACCTGCTGGTGATGGTAGCCCCGCTGGCTGTGATCATGGCCAGCCCAGCGGCCGAGCCGCTCTGCTTCTTGAACCCAAAACTGTTGGCGTTGGCAGTGGGGGTCCTGGAACTGCTGGAGAGGGGCTTTTTGGACTCGTCACCGCTGCTGCGGCCTGCGTCTGATGGGGAGCGCCTCACCTGGGAGGCTTTGGGAGACAGTCTTCCTTTCTCAGACACCTTTGCATCATCTGTTTTTCCTAAGGGAGAAAGCAGTGAGGTTAGCATGCACACCAAGAAGCGTACAGCCCCATCTGCTTACAATCCTCCCCTCCTCCAAAGAACTGGTTCACTTTTTCCTTGGGGAAAGCTGTAGCCTTTTTATAAAGATAATCGAGCCTACTACTGTCACCGTGAGCCTTCTAGGAGATGTCAATGATTCTACACATTTGCAAAGCAGCCTAAATTTACCCAGAACAAAGTGAAGCCAGCCAATCACTGATATGTCTGGGCAAGAGATCCTGCCTTCTACTGACCTTTCCTCCCTGTCCATTAAAAGGCTCTCCTTAACATTTTCAGGGGGCACCTCTGCCTTCCTGCAAAAACACTACCCTTGTTTACCCACATCCCTAAATCATGGGCAACACAAACTGGACATAAAGGCAGCTCGTAAACTCATGCTCTTGAGCAGCTTACACGCGGGTGTGTTGGCTCTTCCCTAGTGCCTGGTTAAACCCATTCCGTACACCTCGGCAGCTGAACCATCTTCGGAGTTTGAGGCTTGCACACTTACCTATTTCCACTTGGGAAAAGGTAGGGATGTGAACCTTTCCGAAGGCTAGTTATTAGCAGAGTCTAAACTCAAAGAAGAAATACCTGAGCACTGATGGGGACTGAAGCTCTTGCTCGAGTGACTGCAGGTTTTGGATTTCAGATGGACAAATGAGATGCAAGGCAGCGCAGCCTCTTACTCACCAGTTCCTGGGGTCTTGAGCGGGCCTGCTGGGGCAGCCGCCTTCGTCCTCGGCATGGTGATGCCCACCTGCGCGGTCATGCCTCGCCGCCACGAGCCCGTCTGGGAGATGACCGGATTCTTCTTGCCCGACGTGCTTTTGTCAGACTCGTCAGACACGTCCGAGGGATTCCGTCTCCACTTAGACCCAGGCTCCATCTTTATGCCGCTGTCTGAGCCTCCGTCTGACTTCTTGACATCATCGCCCGACCACAGGGAACCCCTCTCCACCTGCGAATGCTTCTCAGCGTCGGTCTGTGGATGAGACGCTGAATTAGGCCTTCCAGAATCCCAGGCCTGGAGCCGCTCAGCCCAGAGCGAGAATGCCAATACAATGACAGATGACTACTTGAAAGTGTCCGGGCCTTTACAGTCTGGTTATCTTGCTAGAAAGCCTGATTTTTTTTTTTTTTGGCTGGAGGAAAGTACAGAATATAACTATGTCCTAGAAGGGAGTGACGAAGGAGAGTGGGACGGGCTGAGAGGGAAAGGGGGACAGAGCCCCATGGAGGAGAAACGTGAGCAGACAGAGACGGGACGAGAATTCAGCGACCAACTCTCTGTCACTTGGCAACAAACGCCTCTAACTCCAGAGACCTCTCTTCAACCAGCATGCAGCCTCCTGGCCTGTTTCCCTTTGTTCTGCCGTCTTCCTATCACTCCACTAGCAGCGAGATCTTTGACTACAGCACAGCGCCACAGCCTAACACGCAGACGGAGCAGGCGAGGGCGGCTGCTAGTTCCACGCGGATCAGGGAGAGAGAGAGGGGCCGGGGGAAAACAAATCCTCAAAAGCCAGAGGTGCCTGCTCCCGCCCGGCTCCATTTATATGCCACTGCTTCGCTCCTCTTGTGGGATTTGGTTCAGACAAGGGATATAATTAGCTAGCTTTCTTTGGAAGAGCCCTGACCCGCTGACCATGGAACCCAGGAGGGGACAGAAGCGTGATGTTAATGATCCACCGCAGTGAAAAGGCACAAAGCTAACCAGAAGGCTTTGGGGGCTTCCCTAGGGGGCCGGGGCCGGCCCAAGAGGATGCCAGTAGGGAGAAACAGTGCAGTGAATGCGGGTGGGAGTTAGCAACACTTTAGGGCGGCCACACTGAGTGACAAGGCCTGTGTTGGCTATGCTTAACTACCAACAGTGGGCAACACCAGCAGGGCAGGAAATCCGAATGATTACCCAGCAAGAATCTGGCCTAATGCCTTTCATCCAAGAGCAGTAGTGGTATCGATGCTTTCCTCTGTGGATACACCGCTGTATGGGACAAAGCTGAATACAGACAAGCAGCTCCAGTTAAGTCACCTCTCGGTCACCACCACGGCCTCTCTCTCCCCCCTCAACCCCGCACCCCCCCCCCCCCCCCCAAACTCCAGTCCTCCATCACGGCAACCTGACGGTGCCTTCACTTGTTCAGTCATTCCTCAAACACATACTGAGTTCCCTCCGGGGACCAGGCACCAGAACAGGAGGGGGACAAAAGACTCACTCCCTGACTGCGGGCATCCCCCCGTTCAGCTGTGGCAAGGGACACAGACGGGGTGTTCCTGCATCTGAACACAGAGCAGGAGCTCCATCAAGGCTTGACGAGTAAAGGAGGGAACCAACGAACACATGCTTTTCAAGCTACAGCACGGGCTTCAACAAAACGATCTCTGATTCTGACCACTCTCTGGTTAAGGAGCGTCACGACAGTACATAGTATTGCCTTCATTTCAGTTTTATAGATGAGCGGAGACTAAAGTTACCCACTCCCTGTCCCAACTACTCCAGCCCGTGTTCCTTCCTCTAAACACTTCCAGTAGATTCCTTCAACCAGACCTCCTCAAAGCCCGCCATTTGCCAGGCGCCATGGAAGGTCTGAGGATCTGCGGGTCTGATTAAGTCCCATCCCTCCTGGAGTTTACGATCCAGTGACAGAGGCAGAGGTTGAAAAAATAAATACAAATAAATGAGCAATTATGAATTATGAAGATTTTATAAGAAAAAGGACAAGGAGTAAGAGAAAAAAATACGCTGATGTAATTTAGCTGATGAGGAGGAGGATGGGGGACGGTGGTCAGGTAAGTCCCCTTTGAAGAAGTAACCTGAAGAGTGAGAACAAACTTACTGAGAAGAGTTTAGGGAAGAGCATTCCAGGCAGGGGGAAGAGCACATGCAAAGGTCCTGAGGCAGGAAAGAGATTGCCTTTAGAAGCATTCAATCTGCAGGTATTACCTGGGTGCCACCATATGCCAGGCAAACTCATGGGGCCTGGGACCCCACTGTAGTAAATGAATAAGAACAAATACAAGTCATTAACTTCCTGGAGTTTATGTTCAAGTATATTCTGACACATTCTAACATACTCCAGGAGATACTGAAAACTTAGCACTTAACTACATTCTGGGTTACTATATTAGTTATTCTTTGCATGCTCCCATACCTTATTCTCCCTAATCAAATTGTAGTCATGCTAAGAGTAGTAGCAGTGACAACTACATTTATTAAGCACTTACTATGTGCTAGGCACTGGGCCAAAGTGCTTTTCATTTATTATTTAATTTAATCCTCACCAAGAATCCATGAGGAAGTTACAGTTCATATTTCAATTTTACATATGAAAACTAAGGCACAGAGTAGAAAAGAAAATTGCCCAAGACCACACAGTGAGGAAATGGAGATCCAAGGATTCTAGGGAGTCTCAAAGGCAGAGCCCAGATTTTAACCACTATGCCACACTGCCTTCCTGGAGAATAAGTCCAAGGACATGAGACATTTCTGCAGGCCTAGCAGCACCTCACACAATTCCTACACCCAGTAGATTCTCCTTCTGTTCCCCAACTCCAGCACTGAAGCAGCTCTAGCCTACCCTCTGGGTGTGACCCCTAGAACTCTGATCCTAGAGTCCTGGGATCGAGTCCCACATCAGGCTCCCTGCTTGGTGGGCAGTCTGCTTCTCCCTCTCCCTCTGTCCCTACCCCCTCAGCTCGTGCTCTCTCACTCTCTCTCACTCTCAAATGAATAAATAAAATCTTTAAAACAAAAAAAGATGAAAAATTCCCAGCCTCTCTGTTCCCAGAGCTGACAAGTGAAGGGTAGCAGGGCAGCTGCCTGGGGAGGTATAAAGAGCTGTATCCTTCCCTTGGCTCCTCATGCCTTCATCAGTTGTTCTCATTTCAAATGGCACCTAATTTTGGCAAGATTTTCCTATTGCCCCTAACTGGAAGTCCACTTACTCATTCAACATCCCAGAGGGAAGGTAGGGAAACAACCAAACATAGGTGGGGAGAAGGCCTGAAATTTTGGAGGGTTCACCACTGAGGGCCCAGGTTGCTCAGGGACCACAGAAGGGAGGCTGATCTGAGAGTGAGAGGGTGGAACCAAGGTGGGCCACGTGGCCTGATGTGCTGGGGAGAACACGGGCTTGGAGTTTGAGTTCAGGTACTGGGTGCTCCCTCCTTTGGAGGGAGTGGGTTACCTCCTCTAAGGTCATGACCTGTGCATAAAATGGAGATGCAACAGACAGAGGAGTCTTAGAGGGTAGATAGTTGTCACTAAATGTGGAGGGACTCACACAGTGGCTCTTTTGTCACCAACTCTCCCACCTCTGAAAACCTCCAACACTTGGTTGTCTTTATTCCATTTTTGTCCTGCATGAGGGTGAACAAGGTACTCGTCTTTCCTGCTCTTGGGCCACAAGCCAGGACGCTACCCTCTTCACGCCCACATCCTCTGCTGATCAAGATGCTGAACTGGCTCAAGTTGCAACTGCAGTCATCACAGAAGTAATTATCAGCATCAGCATTATCTCCTGCCACTTCTCTTGCTAGGTCGGCACCGTGTCCTTCTGCATATATTATTAGCTCATCTAATCCTCTGAGCTTGTACTATTATCCATATTTTACAGACCAGGAAAGTACAGGCAAGTAACTTGCCTATAGTCATAAGCAGCAGCACCTAGCAGGTGGGCAGAAGGGGCATCCCTCCCTGCTCCCAGCCAAACCCTATCCCTGCATCCAGACCAACATCCAGAGAACAGCTAGAGAGCTCCAGGCTCACTCGAGGCCTCACACAGGACAGGGATCCTTGCCACAGAATTCAGAATTTTATTTCCTTGAGTAGCAAAAATTAAACTCACATGGAATTATCTTCCTCCTCTCGTATATTAAAACTTCACAGGCAGTGAAAATGAAAGGAATTTTGATACAGGCTTCTCTGTATCTTGGCACCTGGAATGGAACCTTCCACAGACTGAGAGGAAATACTGAATGACCAAGGACATGAATGGACAGATGATTACGTGGGGGAGAGAGATGTGTTTGTTACAAGTCCTCTGCCCTAAAAATAAAATGCTGCAAAATATAAAATGAATTGTAAGATATATTAAGAACACAAACTTTGGTTACTGACATGAATGGAGGGAGGGAGGCAGGGGGACAGGTAATCCAGAGGAAGGAAGGAAAGAAGGAAAAGGAAAAAAAAAAAAGAAAACTCCTGAGTACCTACCAAGAATGAAATACCACGAGAGCACATTCAGATAAAGTATTTCCATGTCACTACCACATTCCTCCTTTGAGACGAGTCTAACTGCTGTGATTTTACGGACCAGGAGGCAGAGGCTTGAAGAGGCTGGTTAGCTTATCCGAGGATGCCACAGAACCAGGAGCTCAACCCCTTCTCCCTGACCCCGCAACCTGGTTTGGCTGCCCAACTGGACTCACCAGTCCTCATGGAGGAAGTCCGTCGAAAGGCTGTCAGACCTCAAGCCAGGAGATTCTCTGCCCAGCTTGGGAGCAGTGATAGGAGGCCTGGTGCCAGACACCTGGGCATGTGCATCCCGCCGAGGGCACCCTCAGTGCCCCTCCATATCCTTGAGGAGATCAGTCACTCACAGACAAAGGGGGCTCTCATCTCTCAAGGACAGCTCCCCTGTGATCTGCTTGGCTAACAAGGCTGCTCCTTGGGCTTCTGGACCACAACTTCCCTGTTCCTTGGATGGATTTCCTTTTAGCAGTTCCTCAGCAGCTTTTCCAACAGCAAACCTGGCCAGGCAACCTGTCCTCAACCTGCTTTCCCGGCAGACGTGCTGAGCTGCGGCTTCCTGCCTCTCCCTGCCTCGCCTGGGATACTGCGCACTCCCCGTTCGATGGGGGAAGCCAGGCTGTGACAGAAACCTGAACGAGCCCCGGGGAATGATGGCAGCGCACATCTTCCCGTTGCCTGGTGCTGCTCTGAGAGGAGTAATGGCCCTTGGCTTTCCTCAGAGTGGGATGAGGGGAGGAGGGGACGAGGCTGCAATTTACGCTGATTCAAATATTTGGAGATACTCCCTGGACAGGAACAAAGGGATGCCAGAGAAACCACCTCCCTGGGAATCTTTGTAACTATTGGTGCAAGTCCGCATTTATTGTATTCCAAGACCTACTGGCTTAGTTTTTATTTAAATATTTTAAACTCAGGCAGTTTTATAGCAAAACAAACAAACCAACCAACCCAAAAAACAAAAACAAAACAAACCAACCCAACAAATATTAAACCCCTTCCATCCCTTGAAATTAACCTTCTGAAACTGATCAAAAAACATGTTTGTGTCGTATTCGTGAACTTTTTCTGATGTGACATTTTCTAGACAAAGGCAAAGAGCTGGTCAAAGAGGAGGGGGCACTGGCCTTAACCAAATCTGAGTCTATCAGACGAAATCATTTGTAAATCCCCGATGCTTACTCTGTATCAATACGGAAAACAGATGCCAATCCCACCTTTGTGGGAGGGAAACAAAGACAAGAGATTCTTCTATCAGTGTTTTGTTGGCTCAACCTGCATCTTAAAAGCAAGACTACCTCCAAAAGTAGACAAAAGAGAAACCTATTGATATTCATCTCTCCCTCCCTCCCCCACCCTCTTTCTCCCTCTTTCTCCACAAGCCGCCCCCCTCAACCTGTCTGTCCCTCTCCTCTTGGTTCCCCACCTCTGTATCTAAGGAGAGTCTAAGAGCTTGTTATTGTTACCCTGAAATTAAAAAGACTCTCAGAAAAAAAAAAAATTAGTGTCCACGAGGAAAGGAAAAAAGTTGGCAGGGGGTAGGCGGCAGGGACACAGGCTGGCTGTGTTTCTAACTTTTGTCTAAACACTGATCAAACAGTGATCACTCTCAAGCAGCGTGGCTTACGTATGTTTTTTTTTTTAATTACCCTTTTAAAATGGGGTATAGCATTCATATATCACATGCACAATGTTAAGTATATAGCCTGAATACGTCTTATAAAATTAACCTACTTCCATAACTACCACTCAGATCAAGATATAGAATATTATCAGCACCCCCAACACCTTGTGCCTCCTTCATTTGGGTTGTTTTTTTTTTCACCACTACCATCACAATTCAACACTCACTCAAAAATAATTAGAAATTCTGGAGAAAGTGCAAATTCAAGAAATCACAGGCAATCCCAGAGGCGACACCCAACATATTTCCTCAGGCAGTCAACGTCCACATTTCTGTGGGACACAAGTACTCCCACACTCTGACACGTTCTTTATTTAGCCCTGTCTTCAAAAAAAAAAAAAAAAAACTTTTGAAAGCATAGAAATTTCCAAAGAACCTCCTGTCTCGCAGAGAAACAAGTGAGAAAGGAAGCTGGCGTGGAAGGGAGTGAAGGAAGGGGACAAGTGTCAGTTCTGCCCTCCCCCAGGCTCCTCTGGGAGACTGTGTCCCAATCAGAGCTTCACGTAGTTTCACTGGAGGCAGCGGCCCCCACCGGTGGGAAGGACCCATCATGAAAAAGATCCCAGGCCACATAAGCCAGGGCCACCAGAGCTGGCCAGTCCTTGCACAAGTCAGTCCCAACTTGGGGACTGGCTATGAGGATGGCACCTCACTCTTCTCCTAGCAAAATGGGATTGCTAGAACCAACCCCTCTGCCCACGAAGGAGCGCTGCGAAGGTGAGTGAAAGCACCCACATGAAACCACTTTGGAAGCAAAAGAAGGGAGAGCACAGTATCCAAGACATACCGTCTCAGAGTTTTAAAGTAGGGGTTGAAAACTCAAGCACCCTGGGGTCTGACAGGTATATTGAAGGGGGCAGCTGGTCAGGAGCAGTTGGGGCACGCTGAGACAAGGGCTCCCTGTCTGAAGGGGGCAGACACTTGGACGCCTGTTGATTGTTGCCACGTGGAGAATATAGGCTCAAGAAAGCAACATATTCTGATCTTTAAGCGAAACCAGAATCTCATTTTCATGTGAAATAATGCAATTTTTAAAATTTGACATGGAATCAGGGGCGCCTGAGTGGCTCAGTCAGTTAAGCATCTGCCTTCGGCTCAGATCGTGATCCCAGGGTCTTGGGATCGAGCGCCATGTTGGACTCTCTGCTCAGCGGGGAGTCTGCTTCTCCCTCTCCCTGCTGCGACCCCCCTGCTTTTACACTCTCTGTCAAATAAATAAATAAAATCTTTAAAATAAATAAATAAATAAAGATAGATAGATATAAAACTTGACATGGAATCTGGTTTAAAAGAAGGGGATACCATAAGCCAACGGACAAATATCAGCATGAGGACGTGACTTTCAGACCAACAGTTCCCAACCTCTGGTCAGGAGCTATTGGTCTTCCAGGCCAAGGCTGTCAATGTTTGCTCCCACCCCATCACTTTGGGGAGATCGGCATGTACCCTAGACAGAGGTGGCTCGCTGTGGCTAGGAGAGGACACACACTCCAGGCTAAGAATGACCAAATGAGTCCAGCATCCTCTTTAAAACAAACCAAAAACAGATTCTGAAATGCAAGTCCAGGAAGGAAATAGGTTTTTATCAAGACCTTCACAGACAATGGTGAGGCCTCCCCATTCCCGTTTCTAGTGCCCCATTGCCTGACCCCCCTTTCTCTGCAGGTGGAGGCCAGGGCTAGTGAGATAAGAACACAGGCAGTGAGCAGGTGATCAGGCCTCATCTCATGGACCTGGGGATGCTGCTCACCCCAATGGCCCCCCTGGTCCTCAAGCCCGAGGCTCCCTGCTGGCAGGGGCTGCGGGAGGAGGCTGTTGCTTACCTGCACATCCAGGTTTTTGCGAGAGGAGGCAGGTGTGTTGGCATAGGAACTGATGGAGGAGCTGGTGTTGATGTCATCGGTGCTGAGGTTGTCTATGGTGTCGCTGATCCCGCTGCTGACGGAGCTGCTGTCATCCCAGCTGCCGAGACAAACACATCCTGAGCACCCAAACCTCATGCTGGGTCAGCTCAGGCCAACAATACAGACAAGCGCATTCCAGCCCCGAAGGCGCCTGTGTCAGAAAGCCCCAGACGAAGCTCTTTTGCCTCTTTTGCCTCTAACGTGACTCACCTCCAGGGCACCGTCTATCCTTGCTGCTCTGGATTGGCAGCTGGGGGAAGTGGCTGAGACGGACCGTCCCCCACATGGAGCGTGCTGTCCTGAGCAGAGGGAGCTGAAGACCCTACCTGCCTCCTACCCCATCCTCAACTCCATCTTGGCAACTCTGCGGAAGCCAATGGCTACTTCGCAGACCTAGTGGCAGAGGAAGAGCGGTGGGCTTGGGGACTACTGCTGGAAGCAGAGAGAGTCAAGAGTGGCACTCTCCCCGGGGTCAGAGTGCAAAGATGAGCTGCTCTACGAATTCTCTGGACTTCACTCCTGGAGTGAAATGCCAAGGGAAGGAAAGCCCCAGAAGTCAGCAGACACCTGTCGATTCGACTAGCGCTTCTAACTCTAATAGCATCCCAGCATACATTGAAAATAGAGTTCATTTCCCAGCCCACAAATCCACTGAGGCCACGCCTACCGCTCAAGTCCAACCTCCAAGCAATGGTTCTTCTTTCTCCTCATCATGTCCCACCGCCACCAAGACTTTTAACCCATCCCCTGGTCCTACGGCGTCTACCTGCAAAATGTATCCGCGCGTGCCCAGCCCTCCACCTCTCCTGCTGTCTGCACTTCCAGCTGGTCTCAGCTCTGCCTGGGCGACTGCGAAGAGGCCGCTGGGCTCTGTGCCCCACTTCTCCCTAACAGTTCGTTCTCCTCACGGCAGCCAGGACCATCATTCTGAAACATGAATCACATCCTATGGCTCCACCGCTTACTACCCCTCCAGGGGCTTCTCAGGCACTTAAAGCCCCACACTCCTTCCTCTGGTGCTCAAGAGCCTCTGATCCGGCCTCCCTCTCCAGTCCTGCCTCGGGCCCACCTCTTCATCGCTCACTGGCTCCAGTCGCATGTGCTTCTTCTATGCCAACAGGGTTCTTGTGTTCAAGACTCTACAGTTGTTGTCCCTCTTCCTGGACACGCCCCTGCCTCCTTGTTAAGCGTCACCTCCTCAGAAAGGCCTCCCCTGGTCCCTGGGCCTACAGTGCTTGCGTCCCACACCCCAACCAAGCCTGCCGTATTTTCTCATTTGTTTGGTTGCAGGGTGGCGGGCACAGAGCAGGTGCTCAGTAAACACTTGTGAATTTAAACTCATGGGAGTGAGAAGTCGAGTGAACTACAAAGTAAGCATCCAATATAAATGTAATCTGATCTACTTGATATAGTGGAAAAAGGTGAGTATTCTTGTTTTCCTATTGTACAGGTGGAGACACTGAGGCTTAGAAAGGTAAGAAAGGTGGGGTGCCCAGGTGGCTCAGTTGGTTGGGCACCTGACTCTTGTTTCGGCTCAGGTCGCAGTCTTGGGGTCATGGGATCTGGCCCAGGGTCGGGCTCCTCACTCAGTCAGAACAGAGTCAGCTTGAGATTCTTCCCACCTCACTCTCCCTCTGCTCCCCTCCCCACCTCACTCACGTGTGTGCTCTCTCTCCAAAATAAAATCTTTGAAAGAAAAAAGAAAGGCAGGCAGGCAGGCAAGGTTGCACTAGGCCAGACAGCCAGTAAAAGATGGAACAGCACCTGGATCCAGCCGTTCTGACTCCAGAGCCACCTTCTTTACTGTGATGCCAAATGGCTTTCCGCCATGTCAGCCTTCAGGGCACACCAGATTGGGACATGGCTCACTTTCTCCGGAGGAGGCTGAGGCTCGGAGGGTCTTATCCACAGGCCATCTCCGCACTCCCACCTCCACCTGCAAGGCGATGCTGCAGCAAGGTCAGCCTCACCCCTTTGTGAGCCATGTCCCCTCTACCTCCAGGCGCATAGTACATGCTTATCCAACCCCTCCGGGCTGAACTCCTATGCAGAGGAAAGACAGGACAAGCTCCCACAACAAGTTACCACCATCTGTGGCCTCTGAGCTCGGCCTCCTTCTCCCAGCTCATTCTTTGACAAGCCACAACTCCTAGGCCTCAGTTTCTTTATGGGGGACACGTGGATGATACCACTAGGCTGGCAACCATGTTAAGCTCCACTGGAGAGAGCATGACCCAACAGATGAAAAAGGACCCAAATCGGCTCTCATGATGATTAAAAAAAAAAAAAAAAAAGTCACAGGAGTCTTTAATTTCATCTGCTCTCTGGGGTTAGCAATTTAATATATCTAAAATTTCCTATAATCCAGTGAAGAAGAAAGAGGATTGAAGAGAGGAGTGTGGCTGGCAGGGAGAAGGCGGGAAGTTAGTAACAGATGCCCATGAATCCAAGCCCCGGAGTTTTTGCTTTGAAATTGTACCCGCTCCTCCCGTATGGCCTTTCAACACCAAGCTGTTATTCCAGAAGGGCATGTGGCGCTTATTGTAAACGTGATGCTTCCCACATCGGTGCCCGCAGCATCTTGGGGCTGCCCTGACTGAGCTGGCCCGGAAAGGGAGAAGCCAGGGGCTGCCGCCACAGAAGGCGGGCGTGGGGACCCCAGGGATGAGGATGCAGTGACACAGAGGGCAGCCCGGGCTGAGCAAGAAGCTCTCTTTGTGCCAGAGACCAGCCGTCCCTGCATATGGAGAACCAGCCATGTCTCCCTCCCTTCTGGATCTCTTGGGATACTGGCAAGTCCGTTTGGATGTAAAAATCAGTTACTTCCAACTTGTCCTTTCCCCCAAATTCAGGCTGTAAGGGATCACGAGCCACCAAGATCAGAGTCAGTGAGTTCCAAGATGGGACTTGAAGGTAAAGTCCTTGCAGGAGCTGCCCTGGGATAACGGTGCTGCCCTAACAAGGGGACGTGGGGGCTAGACGCTGGCTCTTCTGGGCCCCTCTCAGATACTCACGGCATCCATAAACTTCTGAAGAGCTGTCAAGTGCCGGAATGATCTCTTCTAACTTGGCCTAAAGACGGCACTCCCCCAGCCTGCATGACCACACAGGAGATGCGGAGAAGAACAAAGCACACCTCTGGAAGAGATGCAGATGGAGCCTGAACCTCCAGGGGCCACTTCACCCTCACCTGCCCGAGAAGGCAGCTAGCACAGAGGGAAGCAGAGTCGAGAGGAATGACTGTCACATGAGCGCCTCTATCCAGCCATACCTGAGGCTCTGGGGAGACAGAAGCACCCCCTGGGTGGCTGGAAGTGAGAATTAATAAATTCCTTTCTTTTGTTCAAAACTAGTTTGCTTCAGTTTCTGTCACTTGGTATATTCATGCTACCGAACTGGGAACTGCCATTTGTTTGTAAAATGACTCCAGACATGTGGCTGAAGAGTCAGACAGGAAAAATGTAGAAAGCATGCAGAATTCGTTCAGGCAGGAAGAACATTAGTTGCATCAAATCAAGTGGCAAAGGCAATTAGGTACAACCTGCACCCGGGGTGCCAAAGTCCACTGACCCAGGTCCGGGTAAGCAATGTCGAAAGGGCTTACAGAAATGGATTACAACGGAAATGTGAAAGGAACACAGAGGATCTGTGTTTGCTGCATGGTGAAATGAGATGCCAGCTAAGAGGCTCAAAGGACCCAGGGTACACAGAGGAAAGAACTACAGTGTATTCAGCTATGGCTCTGGAACAATCATTCTGAAATACGATGTGACCATCCCTGCGTCTTGCTCTTGAACCCGTACGGTGGTTCGGAGCCCACTGGAGATGACAAACCTATTCCCCTTCATTGGGAGCAGATGACTTTAAATCCTTGGGAAGGTTTAAAAAGAGGAGGGGAGCTGAGGGAGTAAATCACAATATGAATGCTTAAGTACAGGATGAAATCTTTGTGATCACTGGGATAATCTCTGTATATTTATAATACTTAAAAGAATATGGGGCATATTAAAAGAATCTAAATAAAAACAGTCCTCTGATTTCCATTTTAAATGACTCCTCATTTCTGGTTTGAGATTTTTAAGATGAAAGGTTTAAGGACTGGGGGTCAGCCTGTAAAAAAAGAATTACAGTGTTTGAGAAAACTTAATTTATGACATTTTAACTTTAGTTTATTTGATTTGCAAGAGTTAAGTGCTTAGAAAGATTTTGCTTGTTAGGCTGGTAAGTCCACCCTGTCAGATGTTTGAAGAACTTGAGGAAACCAGGCATGTTGAACTTATGAGTCTAAAATATTTAAGGAAACTTAATTATCCAAGTTTCCAAACAGTACTAATTGTCAAAATTCAATTTGTTCAATCTAAATTAACAAAGTACTAATCAAATAACAAGTGGAAATCATCTTAATTTATACAAAAACACTTGGTTTATAGGTGAGATTTATAAGAAAACCTAGGTTTAAAAATCAAAGCTTTAGTAAATTGAAGAGTAAAACCTAATGAATTCTAAGACGTTCCTTTTGAGCACGAGAGCACTCCTTAGACATTTAGAAAACTATTATGGTAGAATTCGTTTTGTGAATGAATGAATGATTTTTATATGGGTGACCAGAAGAATAAATGAACCCAAGAGAGCACACCTCCTCTTTTTACTAGTTTTCCCCCACTCCAGTTCACCTTTGCTCTACATTTTAAGACTTCCAAAGCTACTCCACAAGTGCTCCCCAAATCTCACTGTATCCGACATCCTGGGGAGAGGAGCAGAGCAGAACCCCAGGCCCTCCTCCTGCCTCATGGGCTGTATTATAGGAAATTCAGAAGAACATGGGATACAGAGCCTGGCTGGTTTCCCTTTTTTTTTTTCACGACAGCATATCATGTTTATGCCCTATAAATTCTTTGGCAGAGACAGCTAGAGAAATGGCAAGAAGATGCTTCGAACGCATCAATGCAAACACACCGCTTCGCAGGCAGATCAGGCGTGCACCTTTCTCTCTACTCAATGAAACGCCTGCCACTGGCCGTCAAACAATGGCACAACAGGAGTGACAAGTGATTGGAA